TTCACTTATCTCTTCTGGGCCAGAATTATGGATGCAACATTCCAGGTATGGCTGATACTGATGCCAATCTCATTCTTCAGTATTGACCAATCCTGATAGTAATACCTAGAGGTGTTCATGGAAAAATAAAAAGGAAACACGGTTAAGTGAGGGTATCATGCACAAGATCTGCAGTCTAAACCTGGTGCAGAGCTGGTCCAGGCTCAAATTTTGGAAGGGCTAGAGGTTTTTTTTTATGAACATAATATTATCACTGGTTCAAATTAATAGCTGAAAAGAGAGAGACTCATAGCCTGCTGCTGTAAAACTTAAAATGTAAACCGTGTAGACAAATGAACCATTTGGTATTGGTTAATATTGATCATTGTTAATGCTCATGATATTCATGATGCCAATGCCCATTATTTAGACCAGGGGTGTCAAACATACGGCCCGCGGGCCAGATCCGGCCCGCGGAGGTGGTTCATCCGGCCCGCCGCCTGTTCTTGAAATTTCCGCATGGATTGACTGATAGCACAAATTTCGGTGAAAAAGTATGGATGCGGCCCGCAGGCATCTGCAGGATAAGGAATGCGGCCCGCCGACCAATTTGAGTTTGACACCCCTGATTTAGACCAATGTATCCCTAATGAACTTGACTTGGGTCATCTCTAGTGAGCTATGATATGCCTTGACCACTATGTTCAACATAACATTTTTCAAATTCATGATGCAAAGCAGTCTGAATTGTATGAATTGCTGGAGCAGCCCATTTCCTCACTTGAACTATTGGCATGTAGGCTACCATTTTTTCATCTGATTTGCCAAACTTTTCCAAAAGGCTTGCTTTTCAATCGTTGAAGACGTAGTTTTAAAAGTCAAAAGAAACCGTAGTTTGAGACCGTCATCTCGTATTTGGGACTACGTACGTATAAAAATAAGACGGACGGAACACGTTCTATCCGGATTAACTAAGGGAAGCTCAAGGTCATGAACTAAACAGTAGGTGTAGGTCTAAAAAGTCTGTCAGTCATATCATTTTCTCTTCATCCAAGTCTTTGTCCCTTGAGCTCATTTTCACATGTGGGAAACAAAAAAAAACTTTATAATCCAGCAGTTTGATTAGGTATGGTTGCATCCCATCATAGCACAGTTGCACTTCATCCCTTGGCATATAGAAAAGAGAATGTGTGAAAAAATGAATGAAAACAGTGGTTCCTGTCCTGTATGGATAGGGCTATTGTGCAAGCTGGAAATCTCCCCAAACAGCAGGGTTGTACAAGTGTTTCAAAGGTCTCTGCAGTGATTTAAAAATTAATTTCACCCTCACTACTGTGGTGGAAGCAAGAACTACTTGAATCCACTTCAACTGTTCCTCAAGTTGCTTAGTCCAACATGTGACATTCAGAATGGGATGGGGAGAGGTAGTGAAAATCAATTGAAAGTCATTGTACATGTATCATAGGGAGATCTATACATCAGGGTTGCATCTGGGGAGTTGGGTTCAGGGGTTCAAACTTCTCTCCCTCCAACTGAGATCACATGTAACCCTGTTTTTTTTCACCAACTCTCCACTCAACAATTTTGGTGGATAATTCCTTCCCATTGGAATATTCTTAATGTACCTTTGGTTTAACATGATAGAGGTTCTTCCGAAAATCTCACTGTGCCACTAGAGACCAATTAAGGGTGAGAATGAAAATCTGAACCTGTAGGCAGATGAGTCTTAATTGCTATAAGAGGCAGCATGACTCTCACCTATATTGTGTGTCTTTCCAGCTCTTCTTATCTCTGATGGGATCCAACCCCCTCTCCTGCTGGATGGATGAGTATGGGAAGATATAATCATCTGCCATTCCCTATGGGAACTAAGGGAAAACAGCAGATATTACTGTCAATCTGTCTTTTTTTTTTAATTTAGTCTGTTTGCAGTTGCCATAGCAACTGAAGAACTTGACTAAATGCACATGTGCAGCCTTCCATGTGGGTTGGGGTGTTGGTTGTCTCCTAAAACTATTCAGCCCTTGTAGCTGGCAGATTACAGAGGGAGAGTGCAGCTGTTTACGGCAATATAGACGGTTGCTGACTAGACTTTTAGAATGCTTTATCTGGCACCATATACCTTTTGCTCTTCTTCCATCTCCATGTGATGCAGGATTTTCTCAACTTTTCCAGGACTATTTATGTAGGCCTATGACATACATGTCAACTTTTATTTTTCAAAAAAATGTTGCTAGTCTTGATGAAATGGAGAGAGAATCCTCAGGAGTATAATTGTCTGCAGGTTTGTACCTGAGCTGGTACTCTAGTTTCATTTATTAATTTTTTTTTATCATATGAAACAAATGAAATGATTGACCTTTCTATGTGCACAAAACCAGGTTGAAACAAGCTACCCAGTAATGAAAATAAGTGATAGCCATTTCCATTAGCTTCTTAGCCAAGGAATGGGAATGCTGCTTCCTAATTCCTCAGAGTAGCATAAAATACATATCATCCAAGCCAATCAGGGATGGCCACCCCCTGATGTAAGCAAGCTCCTATAATTTTTGATAACCTGGTTAAGATAGAGAATGGGAAGAACCTGGCCCTACTCATAAGTCTTTGCTAGAGAGGTAGGAAGCTGGGATTTCACCAAGCTTTGTAGATTCATTAGTGACCTCCTTCGTCTACCAATTGAAAAAAAGAGCAGGAAACTCATGAGGGCCACAACTGAGACATAATCTTTCTAGCTAATACATTGGTACAGAAGGCCTTAGGACTCCTGTGCCAATTATCTATGTGTCACACCTATCTATAATTGGTGAATCTACTTCATGGGGACTCAAAGTGGACTCAACACTGACCTATGTTACCTCACAATGCTTTTGCCATATTCTGATGAAGTTCTATGATCTCAAAAAATCTTTACCTCTTACATTGCAGGTGAACTTAGGTGCATGAAATCAAGTACACACAAAGAAGAATGGACTGGCACAAAGCTGCCAGATCCAGGAGCTTCTCAGTATGGGAATTTCATAAATTATTATCACTTCAACCCTCCAGAGAATAGACTCCACTCTTTCAAATCTTCAAATTCAGAGGGAGTCTTGAAATGGGTGATGGAGAAGTCCACGAAGCAAGACTTCCTTGTTCTAGACATTGGTTGCAACTCTGGTGTTAGTTGATTTTTTCACGGTTTTGATTAAGAGTTTTGTTATTTTGTATGTACTCATTCACTTCTGAAGATATGTAGCATTCGCAGCTATCATTCAAAGGCTAAATGCAAGCAATTGGATATGGTACCAAAATGCTATATATGCATGCTGTGGAGTCACTCACACATAGCTTGCACAGGTATCACTTGCTTGCACTTGATAGTTTGAATTGAAATAGCTTCAGTCTACTGTGAAAGTCCATTTATTGGATTTTGGGATAGGTTCCTTTGGGGACGTGCAATGGACGAAGCATTTCAATCTCCCCATCTAGTTGCTCAGAAGACTTATACAGCAATTTTCTAATTAAAAGTTCAACCTTTACATAGAATCCAATGAGAACTTGGAAAGACATTCCCTTGATTATGTGGAAATTCAAATGCAAATGGAATAAATTTTGTATGCTACATACAGGGTTTCCCAAATGTATATCATTAGATACTTCATTCCCCCTCCCTCTAAAATAACTTAGTCAAACAAAGCTCCCCCAGCAGTGCTAATCAGAGAATCTTGCTAGAGGAAGTATTATGTAATACTACATGTACACTAATAGCTACAGTATATGCCAATGATGGGATCTGCATCATATGCTGGAGACTATCTTGATAAATAATCGTATTTATCACATATCTTTAAATTCATTACATATGCACAATAATCTTATCTTCATGATCATGATCATTTTATGACGATAGTGTGGACAGTGTAGTAAGCATAGGTTGCAGTTTTGAACAGTTTTCGTTTTTTGGTATTTTCTAGATTTGTTGCTTGCCCTCCCTTGTACAGTGGTTCTCAACTGGTGGGCTGCGGTGGTGCTGTGGGTGGCAATGACAAGTATCCATAAATCTAAAAATAGGAATTAACAGGTAGATGAACAATAAGTATATGGCTTTTAAGTCTGTAGTGGTCTGTGGATCACTTTGCTGTTGTCAAGATGGGCCACAGGATCAAAAAGGTTGAGAACCACTGACCTACGGGATGGTATTTCAATGCACCCACTAGTGCATTCTGGATCACATTTTTCATGGGCATCAGTAGATGATTTACCTAAGGTTAAACTTAAATACCAGCATAACTGATTGTTTTTTGTGTACCTGTATAAGATGTTTCTTGATTGGCTGATTGGTCATTGGTAAAAATTCATCATTGGTAACAACTCTATTATTGCTCAATAAGGTGATAAAATGAAGTTTATCTTTAATGCAAGAAGGCCAACTGCTGGACTGAGTGTGCTCAGCATGTCTTTTATAGTTTCATCCTTTATATGTATATTCTGATATCTGATTTTATTTCAGGAACTGACTGAAGGCTTTGCTCAAATTCTTCTAAATGGAACCAGGACTTTGGAATCACCAAAGAGGATTTCAGTACTTGGAGTTGACTTGGACCAGTCCTTGATCCAGAGTGCTACAGATTCTCGTAGTTTTGCAGACAGCTGTGATTTATCAGTTCGGTATCTCAAATTGGACATCATGGACAGTGATGCAATCAATACCTTGCAGACCTTCCTCAGAGGCTTTGATCATACATGCTTTGATCTCACACTCTGCTTTTCAGTGACAATGTGGGTTCACTTGAATCATGGTGATGAAGGACTTTCACAGTTCTTGAGCAATGTGGCTGAAGTGTCTGAACATGTACTCATTGAACCTCAACCATGGAAGTGTTATAGAAATGCACAAAGACGCATGATACGGAATGGTCTAGGAGGCTTTTTTCTCTATCACAGTCTCAAGGTGCGATCAAATGTCGATGAGTGGATTCTATCAAAGTTGACTTCATCTCCTATCTCTATGAATAAGCTCTTTAGGTTTGAGTCTTCTTCATGGGGTAGGTCCATGACAATGTTCAGTAAAAAGCATAGTAAAATAGAACTTCCTTGGCTGATATAAGAGTACTTTATCACAACAGCAGATAAGCCCAAAATGAGAGCTCATCTACTTTCATATTGATTTTTTTTTAAGAGATAAAAATGAAGAGATTTTACACTAAAAAAGGTGGGTCCTTGAGGAAATGAATACCTGAGGACCTTTTCAGGGCTTTTTCAGCATGTGAGATGTCATCTGCAGGATGGACTGGTAAACCACAGATGACTTATCCATAGGCTTGCATATATCTCTGTGATTGGTCTTGATTTTCCATAACGTTCCCACTCCAATATCTGAAAAGATACTTCTCTCTCCAATCCGAACAAATGACACAGACAAGAAACTGAAAGTAATGAGGGAACTCACCAGCAGAAGTAGGTGTCACCCAAGTCAGCTTTGGCAATGTAACAGTCACCTTCATATCTATGGTCTCCACAAAACTTTCCACAGATATTTTGTAATTTGCAAGAAGTGAGAGGAAGTCCTCATTTAGTTCTGACAAGATAGGGGAACCTGTAACCATTTCCAATTGAACCTCATTCACTTCAAGAATGAATAAATTTCATTGCATAGAAAATATGCAACCACTTTACCTTTCCTGAGCTGAGCTACATCTGTGGCTGGTTTCAAGAAACGCTGCAGGCGAGGATTCAATGTTGCCAACGCACTTCCCTTGTGTGGTACACTCAAGAAGACAATTCCTTTTGTGGATTTCAACAGTTGGTTTGTATCTTTGCTGTTTCTCTTATGAGCTGCAATTGTGAGAAAGGTGATTGGCCTTATTGCAAAGAATAACTTGCTACAAGTCATGCTTGCCAATGAGTTTCACACTATTGCTACAGAGCTAAAAAGCTCAAACCTGTTTGGCACATCAGCTCATACATTGAATATTTAAGGAACATAACCAGGCTCTGGAAGAAAACAAAATTGTTTTTCAGTTTGCTTCTGGTAGAATTACTTGCATAAGAGGCTTTAGATTGTGCTATCATTGTATTCTATCTTATTTTTTTTTATTCATTTGCTGGGGGGACTACTGAGGTAGTCTCCCTGGCATTTTCCTTTACTGTTCTGTTTCTATTCCTCAAAAAATATAAAACAAGAAGAGGGAAGGAAACAGACAACTTCCCAATAAAATTATTTTATCTTTGAGAAGCTATCTTAATCTGCTTAGAGTAAATGAACACCTCAGTACAGTTCTTGCAAGAATTTTAACAGGGTGATAGTTGACACATAAGTGGGTCCATGCCATTTGTTGCTCCCCAAGTGCTCTGCTTTGTTTCAAAGACCATAATACCTGTCTATGAAGTAAGTACTGCAGGAAATAACATATTTTAAATGGAAATAAGTAACCATGTCATGTTTTCCTTTGAATGTTACATAGGTTATACAAATTTCACTGACTTGAAATCCCCAGCAAAGCACCTAAGTTCAATATTCAGTATGGGTTAAATGGGGAGTTCATTTTTTTAAATCAACAACAGCTCTATAAGTAAGTCATTATGAAAGAAAGCCACACAATTATTAGACTACCTGCTATGGAGATATAGGGAAAGCAAGAAGAAACTGATGTCACTTGGGCATCTAGAGGAAAGAATTGTGTAATGTGTGTGGAAGTTGGGAGGAAATGAGAAGCGGGAGTAGGAAGTTACTGAGACACCCTGAACACAATGAACACCTTTCCTTCAAGTGGCTGCATGACATCATTAGTTACATTTTCTTCTACCTGTATCTCCCTTCCAATGAAAGTTTCAATAAATGGATGATTGGAAAGTGGCCTTCAATCATCAAGACTCACTGATGGAATAAAAAAAAGTGAAAAGTAACATGTTTGCCCTTGACGAGCAATTTTATCAATAGTTTTTTCACACACCTGTGTCATCGACAGCAAGTGTGTTAAGGGGTAACATAATGAGAGCTTGTATTCACAGGCATGAAGTTCCCTGATTTACATAGCATTTGGTTTGGTGTAGACCTTTATTCATTTATATAATATTGTACCAATCTGGACAGCTCCTTATCATGACAGTGAAAAATTACTCTTCTCACAAACCTTTGACAAGCATGGCCTTTAGAAGGAGACCACCCATGGAGTGGGCCACCCATATGATTGGTTTCTCACTAATTCTGGCCTCAAGCAGCTGGTTCAACAGTTTTTCGCTCCTCTCATTCAGGCCCTGGCTACATGAAAATGTTGCATCTCACAAAATTAGTGTGACAGGCTTCATTTGCATCCCTTGATCAGTACAAAGAAGGCGGCAAAGGAGAAAAGGAAGAACCATCATGAGCTACCTGCTATGCAAACCATCTGGAAAAAGCTCTCCCCAGGTGGTCAGCTGGCTCTCATAGTGGATACCATATAAGGTGACTCCTGAGACATCAGTAGGAAGCCAATCTCTAGGCCAGCAGTAACTATATGTTGGATCAGGTAAATGGGAAGTCTGGAGAAAGCGCTTTGCATCGTTTTGGCGCCATGTCATGAAGACTCCACCCAAGATCCCATGGATGAATATTACTTGTCCTTTGGTTTCTTCCTCTTCTTCTTCATATGTGAAGGGATGCAATAGATACAAAGACGGAGGCAGGATGGCCATAGAAGTGTTTCGATCCAAGTTAAACAACACTTTGGCTGCAGTCAAGTAAAACTCTGGCTCCTTTTTCTTCTGCCATTCACTCAGGGTTCTCAGCCATCCTATAATTCAGGTCTCATCCTGAATTTTTGGCAATTGCAAGGTTTTAGCAGATGTTAAACACAGAACCCACCAGATTGGATGATTGCACCATGTAGTTCAGGAAAAAAAGATAGATTCCCCAAGATGGAACCAATCATTTTGATCATGGCTAAATTCTCTTGTAAATCCCTCTGTAGATCCAGCAATGTACACAGGATTCCTTCCCTGACTAGAACTGGGCAAAAAGGAAACAATAAGTTCTGTCTATGCCAGGCTTGGCAACACCTCAGCTAAAATGAGACCTGAATGCTCCAAGTGCATCTAGCTGTAAAACATGTGGACTAACCTTGAGCTTTATCAAAGTTATGAGATTGGATATGTAAGATCTGAAGTGCAAGAAGTAGGAGATCCAAGGAATCCAAGCCTTGGACATCTTCAGGATACTGCGTCTCATCTGCTGTCCACTGATTCCAGTGTTCACTGAAGTCCTTCACTGTCTGGTAAAAGAAAACCCATAAAAAACCACTCTTCCAGTGTTGCAGTGTTTATTAGGAACTCCAATTCAAAGTTATTCTCAGAGAAGACATAAGTCAACTAATGCTGTCTGCTCACCTTGGAATGAATGCCTTCAACTATGAACTCAACCACATCTGCCAGAGGTGTGGACTCAGAACACTTTGTCAACAAGTCAAGGACCCCCTCCAAAACAGTCTGTGATAGAAAAAAGTTACAGGATAGGAAACTCATGAATCCCATGACTAAAACCCATGACTATGGAAATCTGAAACAGGGACTGTGTGCATTTTATAGAACACACAACAGGAGGGGTGGGGTCTGGTACATGGTAAATGATTAACTGCATTTTAAAATGGGGGGGGGGGGGGTTTCCACAAGTTATATATCTTTGGATTATACCAAATGCTAAAAAAGAGTTCCCAACTTTACATGTCTGCAGGCAGAACACCATACAGGTATCAGCAGGAAACTTACTGCATTTCACTTGTAATGCATAGTTTTTTTTTTTCTCCAAAATCTTCAATGAAATGCATTGTGGAGTACCCATGTATATTTTTTCTGCCTGCTGTCAAATTAGTGCATCTGTCTGCAAAACCTGGATGCTTCCTCCATGAACAATGGGAATCGCTCAAGGATCAATTGGGCAACCAGATTTAAGCAGACACAGACACCTGCTCATTTGACATTGTGCAAAAAGAGCTGTTGTCAAGCTTCTGAAAGACTAACTCAATAAAATATTTTGGAAGATCACCAACACATGTGAAATCATGTGAATTTCTAACAGAAGCCTTGCATGGAATTGTGTCTGTAGCCCTGCCATGTCTGGAACATCTTTCGGTTACTGGGTATTATACTTAAAAAGTGTAGATAGTTTTCTGAAAATTTAATGAAATAATTTAAGTAATTTAATAATAATTCATAATTTGGAACCTGAAATTTATTTTTTTTGCTGTCAGTGAGAGAGTGCCTGCATCTGCCTGCTCAGATGAACTCTGACAGGGCAAGGAGGATGCAACCAAGGTTTGTGCATTGGAATGCTCACATATTTGACATCACATGATACAAAAATCTACAGTATAACTCAGATTCTGAATAACCACTGAAACTGTTGCAAAATCACCCTATTCATATAGGGTGTAAAACCATGTAAACTTCATATCCTTATCACCTATGGCATTCTGTCTGCAGGCATATATAGTGGGAACTCTTTTTTGGGGCACCTGGATATGTCAGAAGAGAACATAGTCCCACTCCCAAATAATGAAACAAAAAATAGTGCATTTTTGTATTGTGCTGCACTTCGTTTTAAAGGAAGGTTAGGAGTAGATCTAACCCTTTCTTTTCCCCTTCATTGCTCGTAATTCCATGTCATGATTATGGCTAATTTTTTTTTGGAAATCTCTCTTCACACCTTTTGACTCAGAATGTAATAAATATTAAGAGTCTCAAAAGAGTGATGAAGAAAAATGAAAGAGTTCACCCCATCCTGCTTTTTCTCAACTGTTCACATTTTACTTTTTTAATAACATATTTGAGAAGGAAGGATCAATAGCTGATACAAAGGCATTACAAAGCAGTGGGAGGAAGCCAAGAAATCTTTAAAATTATGCTTCATAATATGTGCAGAGAACCCAAGCTGATGCTGGCAAAAAGAGGAACATGGTATGAAGTCCAGGGTATGATTGGGGTGATGCCTCCACTCTTATCCTACAGATTACATTAACCATAGAGTTACTCTGAAACCAATGAAAAATCAAGCAACCTAAACCAAAAATGGGAATAGGCTGGGGCAAACAGCATGAATGAGCCCTGGCTTACCTTGCTATTACAGGACATTTACCAGAATTTACTAACAATGGAATAGGACTAAGGAGGGAACTGGCCTCATGTTTAACATGCTGCAGCAAGGGATGAGGAGGGGACAGAAAGCATTTGGGAGAGCAAAGCTTCATTCTTGCCAATGATACTGCTGTTTCAGGTGGCATGGCCTGAGCCAATTGGATGTAATCTCCATCTGTCATAAGACAATTTTGCATTTAATGCATTAATTAACTACACCATGGTTTCTAACCTTTTCTATGCAATAGGAAAAAAAAAATTTTCTTCTGATGATCTCATACCTGCTTATAAAAGCAAGACACACATGTGGATCACTCCAAAAGTTTTTAGACTTTTTACCTTTAATTAAGGTAAATTTGTTCAAGTCCACTCACTGAATGCTTTTTTTTTTATAGGTTACTTATGCAAGTTTTGTCCTGTTCTGTTGACATTTAGTGACATTGGAGAACTTTGGAAGAAGAAAGGAACATATTCTCCTCACAACTGACCTACCATCACCTTTATGCTATAATTTTTCTGCAACTGGAACTGTCTCCTCAGCTGTGCTTGCCTAGAGGAAATGCCCAGGGATTTGGGACCCAAGCCCTTCACATGCAGTGAGGTGCAAATGGTACCATCAGTTTCAGTGCAGGAAAAATGTATTAATGCAACCCTGATCTGGGGACCTTCTATCAGTGACTTAGTCACTAAGTCAAATTGACTTATTGCAGTTGCTTATCAAAAAACTTCCTCATCAAAGACTATCTTTATCAGTTAGTGCACCATGTCACTGTTTGCTTGAGTCACTACTGCCAGAGGGCAATTGTAAATCTAAATTGGGGCATTTCTCCAAAGTAGTTTTCCCTGCAATTGAAGAGGCAGTACCAGTTGAACACAATTGCACATAAATGGACTTGGTCCTCAAAACCTTAAAAATTTCACCTTTCACCCAAAGAGGCTCTCTTACATTGTATAAACTCTTGGCATGAGAATGATGATGGATCAGTTCAGCCATGGGCACAGTCACTGTTCATGAGATATCACCACCTGCTTCCACTCAGAGTTGAAGTGCTTCTGTAACTATATGTTGATGAACACTTACACAAGCAACCTAAAAGTGCATGCCAGAAATGAGTGGGATTGAACCCCTTCATCTTTATTTGTAAGTGAAAAGTTTATAAACTTTTGGATTGACCTCTCATACATATTCTTGCATAAGAAATGTAACTGGCTCTACTCCCTACAATGAACAAGAACTTTGCCACTTCTGATTTTCCAGGTGAAAAAGAGGACAAAGAAATAACCGATAATGGTGAACTTGTCACACAGACCAGTCACATACCAGACCTGAGCATGTGGATGAAGTATGATTTCTTTGACATTTTTCATTTAATGTAAAATGCCAAGAAAAAAATACATATTTCTAAGATAACTTTTTCATTCAAAAGCATTTGAGTGTTTCCACAAGAAGGCATATACTGTCTCTGTGTCGATAAATGTTTTGGCTGCTTTTCAACTTTGATTATAAAACAAGATATAACCTGATAATCCATCCATGGAGGCAAGACGCCTGAGAGCTTCCCTCCGTAGGCCAGAGGTTGTTACCATGGTCATCTTGAGTAATATCCAAGGGTGCAGCCACCAATGGGATCTCTTATGGAAGGGAACTTTGACCACATTTCCTGCCTCTTCTCTTTTACCATCACCTTTAGCCATAAAGCATGAGTTGTATCAGTCTTTGTATAAGTCTTCCTATTAAATGTTACAACATGTTAATGCAAGTGAAATCACTTACCCTTCCAGTCAAAATCAACATAAATGAAAGGGGACTGTGAGTGGCTGCTAGGTATTCCATGATCTTCTGGGAGCATTCCTGACAAGTGTACCCGTAACTGATACAACTGATATGCAAGTGTGGCACCTCTATCAAGAAGGACCAGAGGATGATGTTACCCTTCAAAATAGTTTCACAATTTTCCCACACTTTACATAATGACCATCCTTACCCTGCCATGACTGAAGCAATTCCAACTTTAATACCTGCCTTCCACCTTGATGCCATTACCTCCATAAGTCATCAATTCCAATGGAATTTTTCATCTACTGAATTGATGCATCTGTAGTCATTACAAGCTAGGGTAGAGGCACCAGTTTGTAGAAATCTGTGGACAATTTCACTTTTTCCATCAGCCTAATAAAACTAAAACGGAAATTCGTATACTTGACCACTCAACGGTTCGATCATATGGCATATCAAACCAGACCGGGGTCTGGTTTGATATGCCATATGATCGAACCGTTAATGACAAGGGAATGAGAAGTCCGCATTAAAACGAGCGGCGGAGAGAAGGAGAGGTGCAATGTGATGTTAGGTTGTCTTGCTGATGGCACAAAGCTTCCTCCCTTTGTCATTTTCAAGCGGAAATCTCTCCCGGTTCGCATGACCTTTCCTAAAGGGGTTCACGTCCGATGTCAACCGAGAGGTTGGATGACTGAAAGTCTCATGATTGACTGGATAGGAAATGTTTGGGAGAATCGCCCAGGAGCCATTCTCGTTCAAGCGAATGGTGAATTGCACCCAGGAGGCCTAACAAGCGTTCTCCAACCACTCGATGTGAGCTTGAATCGCCCTTTCAAAGTGCACTTACGTCGATTGCTAAATGAATTTCGAATCGAGAATATTGCCAATGTGACTCCGACGGGGGAGCAGACTCTCACACAGTTATGCGAGTTTATTCAACGCACGTGGAGTATGGTTGATCCTGAAACAGTGAGAAAGAGTTTCAAAACGTGTGGAATATCGAATTCACTCGATGGAACTGAAGACGGTTGTCTCTGGGAAGACCCTTCCTCAGAGGATGAGTGCTCCCCGAATCAAACTTCCACCCCAGATATCTAAAATTCTGACCCCGATACTGAATGGAGAAATAACGTAGCCATCCCGACAGTTTGCATGTTACTTTTATAATTTCACTGTTCTGACTGCCTGTTGATACTGTTTCCATCTAAATAAATGACCAATGAGTTATAGGTACGTTGAAAAAATGTTTTCGGAAATTTCCCCCCCCCCGAGTATGAGACGCACCCCCTCATCGATCGCAGGAAAATATGTTTAAAAAATGCGCCTTATACACGAGTAAATACGGTATTATGAAGATGCAGCTCAGCATTCAATGAATGCCAGGCAAAGCTCTGGGAGCTTCCCAAAGAACATTAAATGAAGACCATGATAGGATGCATTAGAATTACAAAAAAATTTTATTCCAGCGAAGAGTCACTGACTTTTCAACCATTGGCAATCAAGCATCAGTGTAGGACATGATACTAATCAATTGGACCTGTTGTAAAGTCACCAGCACTCATTGCTACCAACCTTGAAAAATGCTCATTTAGAAAAGCTATCCAAAGGAAAATAATATTTTCAGCAAAAAGGCAGCTTTAAGCTCTATCAAAAGGAGATGAAAATATACAAGACACTTGTCACCGATACAGAGGAAATTGCAATCAATAATGAGTGCCCTCTTTATCACTGTTGTATCATTGCTATAGAGGTTCTCCTTGACATCAAGAAGAAAAATTGGAAATCAAAAACTTCACCATGAACATAAAGCTGAAGGTGCAATGACTTTGATCACAACACATGTATATTCTCATACAGCCCTTGTGAACTGTCAACCAATCCAAATTAGGTGCTTTGTGCATACCTTATGTACCTTATGCAAACAAAATAAGTGGCAAAACTATTGTCAATATAGCAATCAAAAAGTAGAAAAATCGAGGGGATAAATAATTTCAACCACTATTTGTCAGTAAATACATGAGAAATATATATATGAAACAATACATGTGTTTAACGTGACAAATGTTACACAAGACAATTCTCATTTACCTTTAATTGAAGCATCCTCATATTCACAGCAAGAAATATTGGAAGCCTTTTCAGGGACGAAGGAGTCAGGTGCAATCTCATATTCATACAGCCAATCATGCAAGATCAATTTCAGTTATTCTGCATATGAAACATGATATGATGCTCTCTGATTTCACAAATGTTGTATGATATTTTCACAAGATATCATGAAAGTTTGGATTTGAGGAAAGCACCAATACAGAAAAGATCAAAATTAGAGGAGCTATGTGATTTGGAGAGCAGAAGATAAAGGGACTCCCATGGATAATGAGTACTGCTTCCTTTGGTGCATAGCACCTATGCACCATTCAAGAAAATAAATGACAAAACACGAGTTGAAAGCTACCTGCACAGTAGTGTGTGTGATATGTGAATTCTGAATGCACTCATTCACTCCAGCATATGCAATCTGTGCTTTCCATGCATGAAAGTAAACCATCTGTACAATCAGGTAGGAACAAACAAAAAAATGGACAGAGGTTGCCACTTGAACCAAGGTTACAGCATAGTGCCTCACAACAAATTCAATGCAAATTACACAATACCAGTACCTGCATCTACAGACATAATTTACCACTCTTCTGGTGTCCTCCATATGCCAAAAAAAAAATTGAACCATAAACATCATTTGGTATTTAGAATGCATCTGGTCAAAATATTCAAGACCAAAAAATGAGAGACTAATTTTTCAACTCATGCAAGAAGTGCAGGGGTATCAAGCCTCACTCCAAATGCTAACACATGACAATCTCAATAATATACTTCATACTTCCACACATTAAGGGAGGAAAAAGAAAACCAAATTCTTCTTTGGAACAAGCATCAGGAATAAGCCTTTCCTATCTCATACTTCTGAATAATATGAAACTCAAAAGAGTAACAAAAAGACCCAAAATTATATAACTGATACTCAGGAATGAGTGAATGGAAGGAGGCAGAATGGGCAGAGAAATGTTTAGACGGCTTCAGCAGGGCTCTGAAACTCTGCTAAAGCTCGGATGGGGGCAACTAGTTTCTTTTGACTACCACGGCGCACTTTGGCACGAACCTCATCTGGCTTCTCTCTTCTCACAAGGGGTTTCTTTTCTGGAGCCTTCATCTTCCAGACAACTATTGGAGACTAGAGAAATGGAAAAGGATAGAATTTAAATAGTCCCCCCAAAAAAGGCTTTGATGTGAATCCTTCATGCCACACTAAAGGAATATTATCACAAGTAATGAAACTCACAGCAATTGGATCTTGTCTGGGATATTTTGTTGAAGCAACATAGCAAGCCTTCACAGTAAGAACAACAGCATTCATCAGATTCTTCGCTGCCTGAATCAATGAAGTAGCACTATCCAACTAGGGAAGAGAAGGGCACATGAATTAGTCAGGAGACATAGCCAAGGCACTGCCACATTGAGCATGAATTATGATTCCTTACCCCTGAGACAATGAGCTCTCCTGAAATGTTCTGCACATCAGCTTTCACTTTGGAGGTGATATTCAATTGATGGCAATAGAGAGCTATGCGTTGTAGGTAGGCCAACAAGTCCTTCTTGGTTGTGGACTCTGGGCACTGATCGGCTATCTGACGAGCCAATTTGTCAAGTTGTGTTCCAGCTTCTGAGATTTTCTTGGCAGCTCCAATCACATCCATAGTTGTCTTCAAAGGACCACGACCCCTGAAAAAAGAATCCACAAGCAGCACCACTGATGAGACAGCAGAAAAGGAACAATGGACAACAAAGGAATTAAAACATACTAAGAACACCTTACCTGGTGAAGTCAGTCATTTCCATCATAATCATGCACATGTGCTTGGCAAGAACAATGATGTCATTTCCTGCATCATCCCACTTAGCCACTTCAAGATCAAACTTGGCCTTTTCTGTGCGGAAGTGTTCCACTTGGGCAAGGATCAGGGCCTTGTCTTCCTCTTTCAATGCACGCATTGCATCCTGTGCAGAGAATCACATTAAAATAAAAATTAACACATCAGAAAAGACTACCCCAATCTTTGTTCTTGTTCTTTGGTATTCAGACTTACCCGAGCATTAGTGACACCACTGACATCAGGATACTCGTCAAAATTATCAGTAGTGGTGTGAGCACTTGACTTAGAACGAGTCTCCAGTGCATACTGATCATCTAAGACCACTTCTTCTGGATCCAACTCATCATCAGTCTGTGAGAAAAATGTCAACACAGGCACATGAAAGATATAATACCTCAAGGTATTCACAGCAATGGATCCAAAATATGAAATGTGATAAGTTATGAAATTGTCTCCCTCCTTAACCAATAAACACTACCTCCTCCTTCCAATTCCATGAACAATTCCCCTTAGAGCATCAGAGGGTGGCATTGAAATTTGAGTTATCTTAAAGCATGCAATCTCCTTGAGAATGAATTTGCTGGAAAAAGAATATAACGATAACTTCAGGAGGCTAAATAACTACATTCCATGCAGCCTTTTAAGACAATAAATGTTTACATTCTCTTCCAATTCCTTTGTGTACTACTTGAGGATAAACAAAATCCTGACAGAAGTTTCAGGAAGAATTGTTTCATGACATCCATATCTGTTGAGACTAGATTCAAAGAGTGGCAGGCACATCAGAGCAATGAACACCTACAGAAAGGGATCTACACATTTCCAACAAACAACATGGGGGAGGAGGAGAATAGGGCAAGATTGAATCAGAGTAAATTTCAGAAAAAATTGTTCATGGAAACCATGAAAACAGAAACTATCTATTGGTGTTAACAAATAATGGTCGACACTGTGACCTCACATACTCAGGAAAACCCTGGCTAACAGCATCAGAAGCAAGTGGAGAAAAGCATGAATGAATTTGACTAACCCTATTCATGAGGACAGCTCTTCGAATTTCTCTCACTCCATCATACACCAATCTCGATGCATCAATAAATTCATTTTCATCTACTTCCTTGGGTGGATTGGAGCTAAGACCTTCCACTGCAACCTCAACTCGCTGTGCAAAGTTTGGCATCACTGCAAGAAATACAGAAAGCAAAATTAAAACTGAAAGGGAAACAAAGATAATAATATTTAAAAAATGGGTTCTCACCATGCTCATTGAGGACAGCAACAGCTTCCAAGACCCTCTCAGTGTAGATGCCAGGCTCATAATTATCCATCTCTGCTTCTACCACAGCAGCAACACGTGCTGCTCTACCTCTAATTGCCCCTGCAGTACGATCTAAAGCATCTGCCTCCCCTTCTTGTAGAGCCAGGACACATTTATTTACATCCTCCAAAATGTGGCTTTCTGCAATGAGAAAAAGATATGGCTAAAAGATCCCCCTCATCTCATATACAAGATAAAGGTTTCTTAGGGTGAATTTCATTGCTTTCCATGCAATATTTGCTGTTCTACATCACAAATTCAAGATGCACATTCAAACAACCTTCTCTCACATGATGGTACAAGGCAAACAACTCTCCTTTCATAGCAGACCATGTTACTGAGCACTTGCAAGCCCTACTATATCAGAATTTCTTTTCAGCTTCATATAGGCCTAGCTTATCCTTATATACCATGATTTTCCTTAAAGAAAAGCATGCACTTTGTATCACAACTATTAAAAGGACTGCATTAACCACTTATGTGGGTATTATGTTATCAATCATTGTGAAACTCTTCTTAGGTGAATTAGACATGTATACTAGGTGGGATGAAAAAAAAACATCCCGTTTGATGCTCTATAAAACCTGCTGTGGGTAATTATGTTTGTGATGTTTTCCTAACATGTTGAAAACATCACAAAAATTTTTTTTATTGAATGTTTCATGTACTTTACCAAGGTTATCCCAATAAAAATTGACAGCCATTCAAAGTGGAGTCAAAAGTTTACATTTCCTGCACTTGAGGTGGATGGAGTTTCAGCTCTCCTTGAATGATTTCTTTCACACCATGTTCTTGTTGCAGTACTTGACGCGTCAAAAGAGAGTACTACTGTTGTACATCGAAGCATCAGAACCATTTCTGTGCAGAATACTACAGTGAGAACCGGCATTAAAAAAGCATTAATGGTGTCAAAGGAAATAAATGAATCAAGCAGTGTGAAAGCTCCATCCACCTAATGTGCAGAAAGGTAAATTTCTGATTTTACTTTGGAAAACTGTCAATTTTATTCAGACAACCCAGGTGCATAAAATTTGCAGAAAACAAATTCAGTGATGTTTTCAATGTGTTACAAAAACATCATGAACCGAGATAATACAGATCAGGTTTTATAGAGCCTCACAGGATGCTTTTTTTGGCCACTCAGCATATGTAGTGCTATTTCTCATGTTTGAGTTAAATATAAACTTGAAAACTCAAAAGAGGAGTATAAATTTAAAAAAGAGAAGTAAGTTTCTGAATACAAACAAAAAATATTACTCTTGTGAAAGAAGGTTCTCAGTCCAGTGATAGTCTTCTGCTAGAGAAATTCCCACCTATGGGGTCAACCATTAACAGTCAGGACCTAAATACTTACTCCACAATGTAAGCAGATGTGGTCACTGTAATCTAACTACAATGATGAGAAAGGGGATGATCTCATGAATCTCTTTTCTCTTCTCCCTTCCAAAAGAAGGAAGAGATATAGAAAAGCTTACAAGAGGACCTCCTGGGTCAATCAAACACTACAGATCTTCTAGCCCTTTTGGAAGAGAAATTTAAAAGATCTCATACATATTAAAGGCTTCCAAAGTTCTCACCTGAAACAGCCAAGAAGTCATCAATAGTGGTAATGTCATCCACAGCTTCAGTCAGAAGACGAACTCCCTTTTCCCAGGCGACCCTAAAGGCCTCCATATTCTCCTGAGCCACTTTAGATTTGGGACGGGCAGCCAAGACTCTCGCAGCATTTATTACCTGTTTTACAAATGATACATTATTAACAATGCTTCACACTTAAACTCAGTAATACATTAATCTCAAAGAATTGCTTTCCTTTCCTCTTCTTTAATGAAATGTTAAAACAAAAACAAATATTACATGAGACAAGATTGATGTCAACATATCTGCTCAGCATTAATACTCAATTATAGTACTGATTCATGAAAGAACTTCACTATCATCTGTCCAGATTTATTGTTTCTAGTAAAACTGGTAGTATATGCATTCAGCACAATAGACTTAGCTCCATAACAATTTTCATTCATGCAAGACCATTGTAGAGTTGACAAAAACCTATTCTTTTCATTTAAGTTCAGTATTTTCTCAATTCTCCTGTACTTAAAGAAAGAAAGAAAGAAAGCATTGTGTAGTAATGAAAAAAAGTCAACTTGTACACCTGAATTGAACTAGAACCAGAGAACAGTCACAAATAACCAATCCAAACAAAGAGGAACTCAAATTCCTCTGCAATTAAAAGTTTCACCAACAAAGACGGTATACTGGTTATTTTAGTTAGTTGGAAGAATGAAGATCTTATCTTCTAATCAGCTCCAGGATGCCAAAAAAGGTAATAAAATAATCTTCTTTAACCCCTTAAGTGGGGAACACTTTGATTCCTAGCTTTTCCATGCTACTGAGTTTTTTTTTCGAAAATTTACTTACTGACTTGTTGGAATTTTTTGGCATTTATTATTAATTTACATGAAAACTGTGGGTAGTTGACATATATAACTCTTCATGAAATATAAAAAATTCAATACTATTTGTAATTTATGCAAAAACACTGCTTAAATCACAAGAAACTAGATAAACTTGGCCACCTCAAAACGGCACTGCAAACAGCTGATCTGGACCAGCTGAGAGCATACCACAGTATGTCCCAAATGTAAAAATTAACGACATCACACCTACGACACGACACCTACAATACAATACAATCATTTGTCTTGTCTAAGTTTGACCAACTGTACCAACAGATGAGAGAAAGACCACCCACCCAACTAAACAGATATATCTGCACTTAACATTTTAAAATGGACATGGTAAGGAAACATAAATGCTCCCTATGAAAGGGGTTAACCCTCAACCACCCTCTGCCTTTCCTTCCCGAGTTCACTCAACAAAACGCCCATATCAAACCAAAGCCTTAGTCCATATACACAAATTAAAATCATACTCTCTCCACTTCCAATAAGTTAAACTTGATCCAAACTCAAACATTAATCCAAGCAAGCAATTTTTTTTTTTACAAAAAAAACCATAATACTGTATATAAATTATAGATAGTGGCCTGCATTGAAGATCACTGGGAATTAGTGATGAAACACTGTTCACTTTCAGAACAATATCCCAGGAGACTCAACTCCATAATTACTATAACTGTCATTCAAGGGAATTCAGTATTTATTCATGGGAGCTCTGTCAACTAGGGCTGCCCGAAATAAATACCAAAACCCCCATCAATTCTCAGGCTCAGCCGTTAGAATTCAATTAAACTTATGGATAATAATACAATTTCTCACCATAGTGGGTGCCAACCACAATATGGTTTAGATCATGCTTTTAAAATAGATTATTGTCTCATTAGTAACAAGGTATTTCACACTAGCTGAAATATACTATAATTTCCTGCAGTCAGGAAGAAAATGATGGACCTAACGTTTCTGCATTTTGAACCTTGCATAGGATTGAAATGTAAACTACAGGATTTTCTACTGGAGACCTACCAATCAGCTGGAGCTGGGTGGTTGCTCACTGCAGAAGACAACTACATCAACTCAACAGTCCTTTGAAGGGTGTAGTTTGCAATCAGATTGAATCAATGACTCAAACAAAAATGTCCACAGATAGGCTACATAGAGTGACAATTTAAATCCCTTCCATATATTTGCAAAGGGAAGACAATAAAAACTTACCTCAGGACACATGCTCTCAATCTGAGATGAAGCGTAGCGGACCATTTTCACACCATCTTCATTGTTGGACATGGAGCATACCAAATTTGCCACCTAAGAAGAGCATGAGTCAATTAATAATCACATAGATAAGTGACTTCTTATGCACAGCAGGCAAATATATTTAATTTTGTAGTTGATAAGAGAATGGATGGTTTTTTGACATATTTCATTTGAACAAATAAAACCAATTCATAGTGTTATGATTATGAACCCTGACGAATGCAAGCAGCAGAACAAAAAAAGATGAAAGTATAAAATGTTTGGCAACAAATGGCAACAGTTTTTTCAAGTGAATGCAACCATTCTCAATGCAGCTACTACAAAGGATCAAGCAAATCACACCAAACTCCTTCTGGCATTTTTGAGCATAAATTTCTTTCACGGTTAATGAAGTCTTACCCTACATATGGGACATCCCATAAACTCAACTTCATATACCAGGTGGCTGACAGGGAATGAGATAGACACAAAGTAAGTAAAGGGTGCTTATGCACAGCATCAAACCTGTTTTTACATCCTCTAGCAAAAAACAACTGCCAATCATAAGGATTACCAAAATCAGCCTTATACAAACAGGGATAGTTTGTTCAGTAGAAGAGAAGGTGGAAGGCTTTGAAGTCATAATTCTCTTGAGAAAACATATACAGTATATATATATTTTCATTATCAAATCTAGTGCTACATCTTAGTCTTAACTATGAGCTGGAACACTTGGCATCAACAACACACAGGTTCCATGCCATTCCCACCCATTTTGGGGCACAATCAAGTTAACAGAGCCTGTCAACCTAAATGAAATTGCAAAATTTTGCACTATCTTCACTGACACCCAGGATTTTTTAAAGACAGAATCCATTATGTATTTGCATAATGTATTTAACTGGGGCAATGAAGATCCTTTTTGGTTTAATATTGATCCCAAAATATCACACCTACCACTTCTGAAATACAAATTTCATACATAAATATCAGTGTTTCCTCTACTTGCTAAGCCTCAACAAAAACAAAATAGGAAAACACATGAGCATATAGAAAATAATTAGTTCAAATTTGCAGGGCAAAAACATACAATGGTCATGTAATTTGGGAAATGAGACTCACCTCAACTAGTTTGTTTGCATGTTCTGTGAACACTTGTGCATACTCCTCTACTTCCCTTTCATTCCCATTCTTGGCTGCTTCAATCAGCACCAACAAAGGCACATTGGTTTCTAAGAAGCTGCCATGGAAAAACAACAAAAAAAAATTAAAAAAGGAATAAAAAGTAAATCAATTCCAAAACCTATGTTGTTAGAAGAATGAGACAAACCTATCTGAAACATGATCCACAACAGCTTTCCTCAGCTGTCGACGAAGATCCTTGGTTTTCCTGCACATATGCTCTAATGCTCTGTCCAATCCTTCACTTGTCTCTGACTTCCCCATCTAATACAAAAAAGATAACAAGATCATAATGGTAAATTTCCATCATTTTGCACATTAATAATCCCCTGAAGTGAGGTGAAACTCACATTGGCCATATACTCAGCTAGCAGGTCTTGCAAAGCTTGTCTCACAGCATTGCATTCAGCAACAATCCTCTCTCTCCTCTCATCACGTGTGCAGCTTGAATCAGCCATCAATGCAGCTCCACTAATGATGCTCTCTAGACGTTCTTCCAATGATGGTCGAGTACGTACTTCACTGTATGTCACAGGGTCAAGAATGATCCTCTCCTGGAAATCAACAGAATCACACATGATAGTAATATGTTTCAAGGAATCTTACTAACAAATCTGCTTCACTGTTCTTACATCAAAATCATCCAAAGCAGCAGCAAGCTCTCCTGGTCCATCATATGGAGCAGAAGTTTGAAACCCAGGTCCACCTGAGTTCAAAGGAGCTGCTTCCATTGCAGAAGAGATTTTTCCCTGGGCCACATCTGAGATGGTGTTCACTGCCTGACACACTTGCCTTAGGATGAAGTCTCGATTTGCACGGGCAGCTGCCAGTTCAGGGTGGCGGACATATGCCTTTGAGAAGAAAGAAATCAGGCTTCATCTAATGGTTCAATGGAGTATTAATAAATTAAAGGACTCCTTTTCCTGTCATCAAAGATATGGGTATATCTCCATTCTTTATTACAGACACAAACAGTACCTTAGATGCAGTGAACAGCATCATGGAATGCTTCTTTAGGAGAGCTCTGGCAGCAGCCAAGTCATCTCTCATTCGAGGATCCTTCAATTCCATTTGTCGTCGAGCAGCAGCCTGCATCAATTGCTGTGCACTCTGGCCAAATTGTCTGAATCTATCAACAAGCTCTTGCTGGCTGCTGGCACTCCTCACACGTTCTAAATCGGCTTCCACCTATTTGAGTAGCAATGTCATAGCACAACCTTTTTTTCCTGCTCTTTAACTACTGTCAATACTATTATCAATTCTGTACAGCAGGGTAATGGGGAAGGAAGAAAATACCAATCGGAGGGATTTGAGGAGTCTATGGACATCCACCATGTCAGCCAGAATGAGAAGACGGGTAACAGCTGACAAAAGATTCCTGGCTGCCCGAACCATACTTCCTCTCTTAGCTGAACTGCAAGGTTCTTCAGCAAACTCTCTTGATGCCTGACCCATTGCTTCACCTATAACATGGAGATGTGTTCTGAATATGGGGAATCCAAAATTCATATGATTCTGTGACAGCAATAATGGCACATCATACCTCAGCAAATTGTTAATACTGTGATACCTTTCATTTTCATATTCCCAAGCATCAAAATCACAAGTTTTTATGACCAGTCATTAAAACAGTCCCACAACCAAATAATAATAAATTTGTCAGGATCATATATATGCATATTAATGCTGTTCCTGTTGGCAACACCATAAAAATATTGGTACCTGTTTTTCTGACTTCCTCAACTGCAGCAAGCATTTCATGTTGTATGTCAGGATTCTCTGAAGCAATCTGCTCTCCTTTTTGAATAAAGTTTTCAGTAGCTTTCTCAACAGCAGCCACCAAAACATGAGCTCTCTTGCTCCTGCCTTTCTTCTTCCGTGATGGTCCTTTGGAACTGACAAGGGTAGTGACCTAAAAAGACAGCAAATGAAACCCAATCAGAGAATGCAATAAGAGAGATTCAATACAAACCACAAATTGCAATGTCATTTTTGTGGCTGCAGCCAAATACACATGGGAACTGAGCAAAAGCAGGTCAGCAGGAGCAGCTCATCTTATTTAACCCTTTCATGGGCAATGTCCACACTTGAAGACATATCAAAGACATATCACAAAAAATTTTATTTCACCACAATACCACAAGTGATCATGCAAAACCCCATCTGTAAATATTACCCAGAAGCTACATACTAGAAAATACCTCATCACCTGTTTAAAAAAACTTTATTTCAAACTCATGAATTTGCATGATCTCATGAGAGCAGAATGAGTTTCTATCATATGGAACATCCTGAGGATGTCTTTAAAGTGCACACTGCAGGACACTCTCTGGAAGTTGCCTTAGATGCAATTCTGCCAGCATCCTAGGGAAGTCCTCTGGACATCCCATGTGGAGAAATTATGTCATAGGTCACATCCCCTAGAAGTGTTCAGTGACGATCTGGAAGACATAGTGTCCCATCCTGTAGATGGCATTGGGATGAGCCTCTGAGATGCACTATGGGTGTCATTTACTGAGAACCCTAGATGTTCCATTGATACCACAACTGATGCAAGATCGTGCTTATAGAGCCACTGTGGTAAGTCTGCCCCAGATCCCACTGGGGCATCTCCCATGTACTTCCCATGCAGTATACACTGTTATTTCTATAGAGAAAGTCAAGAAAGATAAGTTTGTCTAAAGAGTTACCTCACTTTAGGGGGACTCCATACGAATCTGATGGAGCAACAGAGTGAGAATGAAAAAAATTCAAGTAGTGGGTCTCAGCATGTGTATCACTTTGATGGACAAGAAGCTCATGAGCCTCCATGAGGTAAATGACATAAGATTGGTCCAGGTGCATTGAGTATCATAACATGAAATAATATCTTTTTTGCAATGAAACCATCATAAATAATTGTCACAAACCTGCCTTTGTTTGCAAGAAATTAAAAAAAAAGGAAATTCACGCATAAGAGGGTTAATGAAAGATGCCTCATGAAACATCCCAAAGAGTTTTTTTTTAAATGACATCCAAACATGCCATTCATGGCAGCTCATATATAAAATGATGGTATGCTATGTTGATCAATAACCTAAGGGGGGATAAGCTAAGCCTCAGATATATGGTTTTCTGCTTTTTTCACCTGCATATTCTGTTTTCACACCACTCTACTCTGCCTTTGTATGAGTAGTTTGAGCAGAGAAAAAAGCAGAGCAAGGACTTGCAGAATAACTTTTCATGTGTATGTGAAGGCAGCCATTTGAAATTAGTCAAACTATTTCCAACATACCAATAAATAAAATATAGTCACACCCATACCTGGATCACCAAGGGTTCTAGTGTCTTTTCCACTGTTTTGGTTTTGATCTCCAGGTTCTTAGGATCCCACTTCAGGAATATGGGAGACTTTCCATTCAAATCAACACTCTCCATCTTTGGGAGATCTCTGACTTCGCAAGCAATGCTCAACCAAAGTGTACAAATATACAAAATGAACAACTCAATGGCAACTGAAAATAAAAAGAAAACGCAAGGTGATACCTATGCTTACACAACACAAAGAGCCTGCCTACAGTAGAACTAACACTTCATGAGATGGAAAGGAAAGACTATTCAATGTCAAATAGTACAGTCATAAATAACAGACTTTGGTCTTAATTTACCTTTGGTAAATTAAGAGACTTTACTAAGACCATGTGATAAAAAGCTCAACATAAAAAAAACAACAATCAGTACAAGAATTGGCACTGTGAAGCTCAGAGCCAACAAACCATGCCTACACTGAAAAAAAACAACCCAGAAACCATAAAATAAGGACAACTGTAGGTATGCATCCTAGTAGTGCCTCTAGTAAAGCCTCCTATCACTACACAGTCATAGACAAAACAGACAAAACTATGCAGCAAATGAAGAGTAAATGGAGAGAAGTAGAATACAAGAGAATGCCTTTAAATTAGGGCTGCTCAAAGTGCCAATACATGCTTCACAAAGAATGCTTCTGTGAGCATCCACTTTAGACACCCCTGTTGTAGATGGTGCAGGTGGAGATGGTTAGGGCAAAGAAGGATTGATCATCCAATCCATTATAAAAAGGGCTCTTCTCCTCGATTGCCTCAGGCAACTAATGATCTATCTCAGTCCTCTTCAAAACTGCATTTGGATGATGATTATAAACTTTTTATTATTTTTTTCATACCAAGTCATTTCTGCCTCTACTTTGGCCAAATGGCAATGGTAAATTGATGAACATAGCAAGTCATATTAGTTTCAATTCATTTATAAATTTTTAAACGAAAGGTGAGAAGTTACACTCAAAGGTGCATTTTTGCCAGCTATTTCACTATACCATGACATTCATACCAAGTGGTTCAGTCTATTCAAGGTGAATGCCTCTTAACAAAGGAGACCAGTAACCATGAAGAAAAATACTCATATCTTTTGTCCCAAGAGCCAGCTGCTTTCATTCAAGAAAGACCTTAGCATGGTTGTATATAACATTTTATTATTTAAAAGATTATACAAATTCATCTTCATATCACTGTTGTGCTTCTTTTAGTCTCCAATGCCTGAGGGGGTATAAAATCAATCCAAAAACAAGGGAGCAAGTGATACAGTTGTCAAATCTGCCATACCTGGTCCATGAAATCTGGCCAACACCACCAATCATCGTATTTTAAAAACACCTATTCCAGTTAACTTGGCACTTACCAATTAGTGCGCAAAAGTGGGAATAACTCCAGATCTGTTGGCTTATATCCTGGGTATTAACCATTCATATACACCATTTGACATTTTAAGTGGATCACAGAGCTAAATGTTTGGATGCATTACATTGTTCTGAAGGAATGGTTTAGTATTCTCCAAGTTGTGAGTTAGAATCCAACCTGGAAATACCCCTAAAGAAGAAGATGGGAGATGCTAAAATTTCTCCCATCATACATATCACGCAAACTGGAATATGAATAATGTCTATAGCAGGGATGTGCCCATGGGCCGCATGTGGCCAGTGGACCTGTTTCTTGCGGCCTGGTAATGCAGAATGGGAAAACAGATAAGTTTCTTTGCAGCTGAAGGCCCATCACAATTTTGATCATCCCTTAGTAACAAGAAATAGAAGACTGAGTCCTTTCACATCCTAATTTTTCCTCATGCAGGCAGTGTTACATATATACTGAGAAGGTTCTCAATGCCAAAGGCTATTTTTGGATGTTGGAAATTCCTAGGGGTGGGGAGGAGGTAAGGATCATCAGCCAATCAGCGTTACCTTATGCCCCCATATGCCCAGAGGACAAAAGAAATGACAAAAGTCATTTCTTTTGCATTCTATGGCCCACGACAAGAGTCACACATTTCCACACTGTACACTGCCAATAAAGATTGCACATCCCTGGTCTATAGACTCTAAACATCAATATTGGTAGTAAATCAATAGTAAATTCCCTGTAAATCTGAGGACATGTGACATCCTTTGAAGGCAAGTAGCATGACAGATGGGTAAGGAGGTGACAATGGGGATAATCTGATAAAAGTTTTTCAGAACTGTCCTAGACATAGTGGCAAGGCCTAACATATCAGTCATCAGCTGTCTTGGAGTTACAAAAAAAATTTTATTAAGTACCCATGTGAAAATTCCATATAAGATCATACATGAAATGGCCATATATTTAGCCAGTCCAACATATATGGGACATACATGACCATATAGTGCAGTTCATATATGAACATATAAGAAACATATATGGGGTTTGACACAAGTTGCATTAAATAATATAAGAATGAAAATATGACCCCATACATATTCATGTATTGGCTTATACAAATGCACCATATACTGTCCACATAAGCTATTTCAAATCTTTGTATAGTGAGATTACCCCAAACATGCCTGTATCCAAAAAGGGTCCATAATCCATCAAATACTGTATAATCATTCATATGCAAGTAACCATGCTTTACTTGCAATCAACTCATTTTTAATTGTTCATAGACCATAGTCAATTACTTCAAGAGCTCATGTTTCATGGTGTTCAATGTATGCACCCTTGTTAATGAAGGTGAAAATTTCAATATTATAGACTTGAACCTTCACAAGTATTTTCATCAGTAATGTTGTTTCATGACAAAACTTGGTTTACTCATGTCAGAATGTCTTCTTCATTTTGATTGACAACTCACAAGATAGATGGGAACAAAAACTGTATTTCTTTCTGAAATAATCCAATGAAGGAATTGTTGAATGAAGGCATGGCACAGCATGTGCCCCCACTTTACAACAACAAAAAATGCATCAATACAAAAGAAAAGATGCATGAAATGCATGATAAGTGTCCCAGAGTTCCCATGCCCCCCCTCTCCCACACTTTTTTCATTCATGATATGCTCATGCTACCTAGGGAGGGTAGGGCTAAGTTTGAAATCCCAACTGGAATTTTCCAGCTGGCAAAGAGCTGAAAAATGATATGTATAGGTTGCTTTACAGCTGGAAATTTACAGTTAGAATATTATACAGAGGTCCCTCCAGTTGGAATACAGCTGAGTTTACAGTTTAAATTCAGCTGCTACTGTAAATGGACCTCCAGCAAGAATAGCCTACAAAAACATTCTCATTCCACCAGTGTATTACAATTAGGAACAATCTGGATCCAACTTTACTTTCCAGCTGTTACCCAATTGGAATGGGTCTGAATTTCTAACTGGAGTCCAGCTGGAAATTATAGCTGTTTCCAACTAGGATTTTAAGCTGGGGGGGAGGGGGTTTGAAATCAAACTTTTTACAAATTACTTTAAAGGCTATATATATAGCTAATATTTCATGTAAAATATAATGGGTGCATTAAAAATTAGTTACAGAGGTATCTGAAGGTCGATTGCCCTCATGGGTAACAACCTCATGCAGTGGCATATTTTACAGACTGCCTCCCTGGTATCCTTAGGACAGGGCTTGGTGCCCCCACTCTGCTGCCCTATCCCCCCCGACTCTTCAGCCAAAATACACCACTTACCTCATGCTATGTTTTACTCACAACCATAAGACTTATCTATGGATATTCACCACATATCAGACATGATGCCATTTGCCCATTACATTTAATATTGCAATGCTGGTAAAATATATTATACACCACACAATTGTTAATATATGAATACATATATGGTAATATATGGCAAACATATGATCATGCATGACCATATAGAATCACACACCCCATCATATATGGAATTTTCACATGGGTAGCTAAACTCAGAATGACATGATTTTCGATAATCCTACCACAGGGTCAGCCTCCCTCAGACAGTTGTGGATTGGAATGCTCTTTCCACACCACTGCCCCCTTCCCACGGTAAAATCCTTCATGAAATCCCTCTCTGACCTATAGCCACCTACTTCACAAGTCACTGTCACCTTTGCTGATATTACACTATTTTCCAGAGCTGCTCTCTGAACATGTTATATTTTCTACATGACATTGGAATTGCAAAACCCCCCTCATTGAGGAAAAGATTAGCTTAACATTATGCTTTTCAATCATCTAACCTGGAAGACAATTGGTTCCAGAGTTTTCTCAACAGAGTTTGTCTTGATTTCCAGATGTTTAGGATCCCACTTGATGGACATCGTGCACCAAAATAGGGTCAGATTAAATGCAGGGGCTGTGCCTGGGCCTGTAAAAGGGATAGGTCTGTCTGTAAGCCTATGATCCTAAGAAGAACTTTTGGAGAGTCCAACTAGAGGTCTTTGAACTTTATTAAGATAGCATAACTTTTAGGCATAATCCTAAGCCCTACTCTAACTTAGGCAAACGACTTTGATATCATATTTTCCAGGACTAAAGATACTAACGTTTAGTGATCTCATTAATATCACAAAAAAAAAAACAAGGTATGTTTGGTACATCATTTGATGATCAGCAAATATCAAGTAACAGGGTTGATGTGTACAAGTCTGAAGCGATGGTTTATTTTACATCCAGCTAGACCTAGTATTCTTTCATTGAGTAGGAAATAACTTTAATGAGTAGGCGACAGACTTAAGCTACTTCTCTTCAGAGATCCAGGCCTAAGCTATGGCGATCGTCAGAGGGGCAGGCTCAATCACCACTATAGAAAGCGCATATTGTTGGCCGTTCAAGCGCCGGCTAGACCTAGCTTAAATTCTTATTGCTGGGGGTTACATACTAATGCCAGTAGATCTACAATGAAATCCTGCCAAACGAAAAACTGTTATAATATGGCAGCAAGGCAACCAAGGCTAACTGCTTAGTCTTTTAACCCTAAGTTGAGGCTACGTCTATATCATGCTCACTGCTAAGTTTCTTACGGGTTGCCTAGCTAAATAACCAACTGTATGAATAACCAACAACGTTAGGGATTTCAAACTGGCTTTGACCACCGAGCTAGCCGGAAGGGGTTCACGATTCAGCCATTCAGCTCAGAGGCTAGTGACGTCATCGCCAAGTGATTCATGAATGGGCTACACCTATCGGCAGGAAGGAAAGTTATCGCAGCCTCCCCACAGAAAGTCATTGTGTGGCCTTCCCCCCCACGCCATCCCTCTCGCAGGTATAGCACAGAGGTTTCAGGCGAGTCGTGTGCGTAAGAACGAATGTTCTATCATCGAAATCACGCACAGTGGTTTTGGGATGCTGTTTTGCATGCTAATTGCGAACTATTGTTTTCGATGTGCCTACCGACACAGCGAGAACGGGTTCCTTCGGCTCCCACACAGCACAGGTATATCCCAAAGATATCTCAGAGATATCCTCTTGGGACAAGTGCGATGTCCCAGAGACAAGGAGTAGGGACATCCTATTGATATCAAAATGACTGGGCCCAATGATATCTCAAGGATGTCCCTTTCTTGAAGGACTACCACATCCCAGAGATGTCCCAGCAGTGGCGTAGCCAGGTTTTCGTCAATTTCGGCTAGGTGGAACGTTGGGGGGGCTTACTTCTCCTCGTCGGGGTGGGATGGGGGGGGGGAGGGTGGGGGTGGCGGACGCATTACAACCAGAGTTTGGGGGGACTTGAACCAAACTTAGGGGGAGCTGAAGCCCCCCCTCGCTACGCCACTGTGTCCCAGGGATATCCCCTTAAGGGGATATCCCTGGGACACAGTTTGGGACAAGTCCCGGACATTACTTGTGGGGACATCTCAGGGATATCAAAATGTCTGAGGGTAAAGACATCCCAAGGATGTCTCTTTCTTACAGCACAAGTATATCCGTAGGATATCCCAGAGATATCGCCTAGGGACAAGTGAGAAGTCCCACGTAGTACTTGCAGGCACCTTCCTACCGCGCAGGAGAACAGATTACTTTCGAAGATGTCTCTATTCGATCTAGGAACACCTAATCATAGGTTCTTGGCAGATTGAAGAGTGACGATTATGGGGGAGGAAAATCCTGTTCTTAAAGGGGACCCCATCAAAGGAGACTCCAAGGGACGAAATTTAGTACCTTTACACGAGGGATCATGGGCGGTTTTGATTTAGCCTTACGCCTTTCGATTCGGACAGCAATTTTTTCACTTTCCCTGGTGGCAGTTTTCCTGATGTACGGTATGAAAATCCTTACATATCCTCAGGGCAAATCAAGTAGATGAATTTGATAGAAAAGATCTGAGGTTGCAGATTCGACCGTCGAAGCTATGCACCTGCCCGAGTAGCAAGGGATCATCCCTGGGACATCCCATTTGGATCCTACGTGGGACAAAATGACATCCCATGGATGTCATAATGAAATCGTCCCGGGATATAGAAATCCCTGGAGCATCCAGAGGACTTCCCGGAAGGTCAGAAATGCTCTCGTTCCGTGCACCAAATCCTCGTATCCCTCGTATGTAAATGGGACGTCCGTTGTGGGATGTGGATGTGTCCCATAATAGACGTCCTATGGACATACGAAGGATTTGGTGTATGGCACAAGTTTCCCATTGAAAGTAAGTAAATGGCTGGGTGTACCGTGGGACGTTCAAGTGTCCTTATGAGTGCCGAAAATAAAAAAAAAGATTGGGAACCACTGGTCTAGGTCATACCATGATCATACTAGTGCCCTTCCACACACAGGTGTCTCCTCTGGAGCATTCCCTTTCACCCGATTAGCCTCTCTCCCGGGTGAGGGCAAGGGGTTCATACCTCGTAAGACCTTCCACCACTCATAAGGGGAAGGAAATGCAGGAAATGCGTTCATAACGCCAGTCATCCCTCGTTATCCGCGATAAATGCGTTCCTGGAAATCGTCGCGAAAAGTGAATTAGTAATAACATGGTATAAGAGGGAATGCGTTCCAAAATCGCAAACTAAAAATTATAATTGCTTATTTTAAAACAGCTTTACGTTTATTAATGTTAATATAATATAAAACAATTATTTATTTATCAAAACAATGTAATAATTAATCAATGATCCAGGGGATGCTGGCGGGGGTGAAGACAGAGGCAAGATCGGGCTGGGTAGGCTCCCCTGCAGAAGTTGAAGGCTCAGACTCAGTGGATTGGTTGCTTTTAGTTCTCTTGAAGAAGTGATCGAGAGAGAGGTGACATGCAGCTTTCTGCCTCTCCCGATAGAGTTCTTTGTAACAAGCCAAAGAACTCTGAATCCCTCTGGCATTATTTTTTATCCTCATTGGGATGAATATGAAATCGCTGAAGTGGGATCGCGGATAACGAGGGATAACTGTATTCCCAAATCCTTATTATCCGATAGCAATGGAATGTATTTTGAAGAAATACCTCATGATCGTACGAGGGTAAGTCAGAAAGTAAGGTTCCCATTTTTTCCCCCGCCAAACTAACAAACATCTGGTGCTGTGACACCCCCGCATGTTAGTACCAAATAGTGTTACTAAGTGGCAGCAGCCACCACTGTTACAAACCCGCGCTGATAGGCGCAGAGTCGGAGCGAACATGGCGAAGGTACTGCACGTGTATACGAAGTCCGAGATCCGAGCAGTAATTCGGTTTCTGTGGGCACGGAAGACCCAACCGGTGAAAATCCACCGACAGCTTGTGGCTGTGTACGGCACGGATGTCCTGTCGGTGCAACATGTGAGGAAATGGTGCCGTGAGTTCGAAAATGGTCGTGTGACTGTAGTGGATGAGGACAGAAGTGGACGCCCATCGACATCATCCGATGTCGATCAGATCGATGCAGCAGTTCGAGCAGACAGACGTTTGTCTCTTCAGAACTTGGAGCAGTCTTTCAAACTTTCACACGGCTGTGTCTGGCACATTGTGCACGACCCTCTAGGCTATCGGAAAGTCTGCAGCAGATGGGTGCCGAAGCAATTGTCCAACGGCCACAAGCAGGAACGCATGACAGCGTCGCTCGAAAACCTTCAGCGATACGCGAAGGCGACGACTTTTTGTGTCGCATCATCACCAGCGATGAGACATGGGTGCACCACTATACTCCAGAGACAATGATGGAATCAATGACATGGAAGCAACCCGGTTCCCCTGTCAGAAAGAAGTTCAAGACAACGCCGAGTGCTGGAAAGGTGATGGCAACCATATTTTGGGACGTTCACGGGATCATTATCATCGATTTCACTCCACGTGGTGAGACTGTGAATGCCGCAGCCTATCAGTTGACGTTGACACGACTGAAACAAGCGGTCCGACAGAACCGGCCTGGACTGCTGTCACACGGAGTGCTTCTATTGCACGATAATGCCCGCCCGCACACTGCTCGCTCCACGATGGACCTTCTCAGCACCTGGCGATGGGAAACTATTCACCACCCACCATGCCGTCCAGACCTGGCGCCGTCGGATTTTCAATTGTTTGGGAAGCTGAAGAAGCATCTCCGAGGACGAAGATTTCCATCGGATGACGCCGTCAAAGAGGAAGTCACAAAGTGACTTCAGGAGCAGGACGCGTCCTTCTATCGGCAGGGCTTTGATAAGCTGATCGACCGTTACGACAAATGTCTCAACAAGTCTGGTGACTACGTGGAAAAATAATAAACGTATGTGGAGATATATCCTGTATATTGCCTTCGGTGTAATTACCTGCCCTCCGAAGAAATTAAATAGGGAACCTTACTTTCTGACTTACCCTCGTACTATTATGGTATAGAAAGACTGGCTTTTAATGAAAGAAGGGCAGGGTTTTGAGTTCAGACTGGGTTCTCTTTTGTACAGAAATAGTATTATAGCGATCGAAGTTTCAACCCCGTAAGGAAAATACCATGTAAAATTAGGTAATCGTATGAGGTGTGACTTACCATGTTGGGTGGTGTTTTACACTACGCTGTAGCAACAACACTGCGTGATGACCTGACATCGAGAGGTTTATTGGGGAGGAGGGATCTACCCAGACTCGACCCCCCCCCCCCCCCCTCCCCAAATACGCCCCCTATATGCCTGTCAGTGCAGCTGGGTTTTTCATGTGGCTGAACGAGGCTATTAGCCTCGTTCAGGCACATGAATACTGGGAATGATGGAAGTGTTCAGGCCCAAAAATATGCCAAGGGGGTGGGAAGGTCTTAATCCTGGCCATAGGGCGCAAATTCCCAGGAATGGGGAAGACTGTTCAGTCATTCCCGTCCTGCTCGGCTTGCCATGCATCATAACTCTCTTCTCGCTCAGTGCTTTCTTTTTTTTTATTTTATCACATATGTCATGATAACTCTTCTTGGAGAAGTTTCATTTTGTTTTGCACTGCTGCCAGGAGACTTCTTTAATCTTTAATTGCAGTCGAGCAATCTAAATTTGCTACACTTGGACGTTATGTATTGTCTCATCAAACATGTCGCGAATTTACTCTTCATCCCAAATTGAAACTAAGTGTTGAGTGTCACCATTTCATACGCCCGCCATCACGAGAATGAGAGATGCACTTGCACACTCCGAAAGTAGTATAAGAGAACCCGGGAATGCATGAAAGGGGGTGTTCAGACATAACCAGTTTCCCAGCCTTCCTGGAAAAAAAAAAAAAAAAAAAAAAAAAAAAAAATTCAAGATAGTTAGTGANATCTATTCCTTTAATTATCTTGAAAGCCTGGATGAGATCGCCCCTCCTTAACCTTCGTTCGAGCGAGTACAGTCCCAACACTTCTAAACGCTTCTCGTATGAGAGTCCCCTGACCTCCTTAATCATTCTTGTGGCCCTCCTCTGTACTCCCTCGAGCGCCAACAAATCGCCCTTATTTGTGGGCCTCCAAAACTGGATGCAATATTCCAACTGGGGTCTTATCAGCGCCGCATACAACGGAAGAATAACGTGAGATGCCCTACTTGCAACCGACCGACGAATGTAACCTAGAATCCTGTTGCATTTGATCACCGTCGCTTGCGCGTGCGAGGAAAACTTGAGGTCCTCATCGATAGAAACTCCTAAATCTCTCTCACCGTTTGCCTCATCCAATTTAACATCGCCGAACGCGTCGAGAGACCTACCGTTGTTTCGACCGACGTGGAGAACTTTACACTTACTTTTATTAAACCTCATGAGCCATTTCTTGCTCCACTCGTCCAAAAGACTTAGATCTCGCTCGGCTCTAGCCCTATCCGCCTCCCCCCTTATGGTAAAACCTATCTTGGTGTCGTCGGCAAATTTACTTTTCTTACCCTCTACGCCGAGATCCAAATTGTAGACCAAAAACAGAAGCGGTCCAAGGACCGAGCCTTGAGGGATAGTCGGATTCCACAGTGAAAACGGAAGCGAAGAACTCGTTAAGTATACTGACCATATCCTTATCACTTGCAATCAACTCCCTCTTTTCGTTTATTAGCGGCCCGATCGACTGTTGACACCTACCACTAGCATACCGATAAAAAGACTTAGGGTTCTTCTTAGCATCGCTAGCCAGCCGTTCCTCGACCTCCCGTCTCGCAGATCTATCATAATTTCCCGCTTCAACGTCCGCGTGATGGTCCTATATTCCTCATAGTCCGTGCTATCTCCCGTGCGCTTGTACGCATCCCATTTCCGCTTTTTATCCCTGATGAGAGCTTTGATTTTACCTCGTAAACCAGACCGGTTGCCTGTCCGATTTTATGGATTTCTTGGGGATGCATTCCTCCATAAAGCCCTGCAATAACGTCTTGAACGCCCCCCATTGCTCCTCTACCGTCTGCCCACGGAGCCGCGACTCCCAGTCGATGCCTGAAACGCATTCGCGTAGTCTCTCGAAATTAGCCTTCTTATAGTTGTACGAAACCTTCCTCGGTTTGGGGTTACTCTTCGTCCGCTTGATATTCCACGTGATCGCGCAATGGTCCGAATCTCCCAAGTTATCCTGTACCTTAACGTCTAGTGCCAGATCGTCGTTCGTCGCAAAAACTAAATCCAATAAAGCTTCCTCGCGAGTCGGTTCGTTTACGTACTGAACGAGAAGAGCGTCATGAACCCCAACGAGAAATTCCCTATACCTTTCGCACCCCCTTTGCGGCACCGACCAATCTAATTTTGGCATGTTAAAGTCTCCGAAGAGCAATACCTGCTTCGAGATCTTGCCGATCCTACGCATGAATGCAAAACAACCTATTTGCTGGTCCGGTTTTTGCCTGGCACCCCAGATAGCGGAGGTTGGCTGTGCCGTTCAACTCCAGAGGATTTCCCGGCTTGCCAGACAAGCTGGGTCGTGCCTGAACGAGGCTATTGAACGGGAAGCCCATGGGTGGGTGGGGTGGGGTCACATACAGTGGTGGATACAAAAACTTTCTATTGCGGGGGGGGGGGAGGGGTGATTCCCAAGTTCCTACATTATGAACCGCTCCAAGACAGATGAGTCCAGAAACTGACCTGGAGAGAGACTAAGTCAACCCTAACGCCCTCTTCCCCAAAAGCATGAACTTCAACATTCTTTCCAACGATAACAGAGTTTTAAAAGGAACTCTAGCGTCCCTGAATCAAAACACCCCTCCCCTTAAAGTTGGACTTGACCGAGGCAATACAACCGGTCCAGGTGTCTGCATTTAGGAAGGATCTCACTTCGGTTAATTGTGGGTCGATTGGAAATTCATGGTGCAAGATCGATGGGGCGTTGGGGAAGATCGGTTATGAATCTGCTGCAGGACGCCAAATGCTTCCCGAAAGGATTACTAAATTAAAATGATTTTAGGAATTAAATAATAACTTCATGCATTAAGCTAGAACGGGACACCTCAGAGGTTTTTCTCTATTGAGATTTAAATATGCCTAATGTAAATTTGTTGCTCTCTCACGAGGAAAAGGGAGTTTCTGGATGCAATCCAGGCTGTTCTTTTTCACGAACAGGCAAGAAATGCCGTTTTATCTGAAACATTCCACTCACCAGAAAGTCCTGCACTTCCACTGTGACCGACTTGGCAGTGCCATGTCCAATATCCCCTTGCAAATGGTGACCACGTTGAACACATTATTAACCCTGTAACTACCAGAACCCAGATGGTCACATGTTTAACTCTTTGTCTCATCTCTTCTTTCCCAAAGAACATCTTACAAATAAATTTGCCCGATTACCATAAAATGTCTTCATGAAAATACATCTAGTATCGAACTTTTCAAGTTCATGGCGCACATGGCACAAATGGCTAAATTTTTGTAACAGGGGCCAAAGGACACAATACGGTAGTTACAGGGCTAAGATGTTAGTACTGTTCTCTCTTTCCAATGTTTTGAATCCCATTGCAATAGTTAAGAAATGTTTATGCTAATCACATTCCTTTCCGTTTTTCTTTCGAAGCATCTGCCGCCCCGTACTCTTATTACATGAAACAGTTCAGGAGAGGCAGGAGAATCGATTGACTGCATACACGACACTAAAATAAAATTTTAAAGTTACTTTTTAATCACTCCATATTGTGGATTAAAAAATATTATGTATAGTGCATGAAATACAAAAGAAACAAAAATACTAAAAGTGGTTAAAATGCCGATTTCAAACCCTCCACAACACTGGAATTCTGAAGCTTTTAACAGATATGCCAGCAGCTAAGTCAACATTTAATTGGGCCCTTGAAGAACAACAAAGGGAGTAAGTTGCAAATAACAGAGACATGGCGAGGATATTGAAGGATTTATTTGTTTCCATTTTCATGAGCAAACCCGATGATGTAACGAAAATGACAAAGGACTTGAGGACATCATCACAGAGGAAGAGATCATAACTAAAATAGGGAAGCTAAATCCAGGTAAGGCAAACCTGATAATATTTTGGAACGGTCAATCGTTCCATTAGGAATTACTTAAATCAGAATTTACCAGTGGTTGCACAAGAAGTGAATATGCATCTTCTCAGAGATTCATTCCCCAATTTTATTGAGTACAGAGAGTCATGTGCAAAGACAATTATTGCACAGAGACATGTGAAATATCACAGATATCCAAGGAATTCAGCAAAAATCATAGGCCTTATGCACAATTCCTAATGCTATCTTAATCCTTTCCCTGGCAGGGATATCCGAACGTTTAGAGGATGTTGACGTAATATTTTGTCGATGCCAGGAATAGAGTTAATAATGCATTCTTGTTGTTAGTTTGCTTCTCATGTTCAATGGAAAAGAAGAAATATAAGCATCATACCAGAGCCAGTATCACATTAATTATGCCCTGCATATAGCCCTAGATATTTACTTTCCACGTGTGACTTCTATTTTGTTTGTTTTTTGTTTGTTTTTTTTTTGCAGACTGTGCCTGGCTCACAGTCATGTGTAACAGAGCATGGTTGTGTGCCAAAACAATAGCAAATGTGAAGTGCATGATACAATGTCACACTGATACGTATGACAATTTGTGAGAACCCACCATAGGGGAATCACGAATTCAAATTCTGGGTGAGTCAGGAGTACCCCCAATATTTCCAAAAGCATGGAGAGATTGTTTTTTAATTCCACCACACAAAACTTGGATGAATTATATGGATCTTCCTGAACTTCAATCTCCCACCAATGGCACCCTGTGTAGATATAAAAGTGGAGAAAGCAAAAGTAAATGACATTACATTTGGATCAAAAGCAGTTTTCTGAGGACATACTCCACTGTCAGGATGCACTTACAAGAAACATTAGAGAATATTGCACAATATTTCAAGAATAAAACAAATTAAGAAGAAACAGAACTCAACAAATACCAAGAGTACATGAAAATCAAACTCCTGCATTGAAAGCTGCATCAAGAGAAGCCTGCAGATACAGATGGAAAGATACTCAGGTCACAGGGCTCATCCACAGTGAGTGTGTGAGAGCAGAACAAAGGATTCCACAATGGGGCTAGTCTATGGGATAACTGAACACCATAAACAGCTCATGACAAAAAAAAATTCACTTACATCATTAAAAGTGCCTAAATCTCAATAGGCCAACCGAAGACAAAAAAATCAAACACAACAGAAGATGATAGTGATATAGTGAACATGGATTGTGACAAAAGATCACAAAAAATTTATAAACCATCATGGAGTATTCTGGAGAAAAAACAAAAATCTCAGGAATCACAATGGTGCTCTTATATAGACACCAACCAAACAAAAGGTTGCCATAATGAGTCTGAATGAGTTCCAACATCAAGATCCTCCTCCACGTTTTGACAAAATCCCTTCAAATATCTTCCCAGTCTCCAAGAGGAGATTATCAAAAATGGCATTTGCCAGACCATGTTTTACTGTCTCTTCTTCAGCATCATAGTTGGTCCACTCCTTCTCTTCCTCCTGGAGTTCTCGTATAAGGATTTCATCCACATGATCCCTCTTCTTTTTGCTCCACCGTATAATGAGGCTGTCCTTATTTGTGCGGGGAACCAGTCCCATGGTGCACAAGACTTGGTCGGCCACAATCCTTTTCAGTTCTTCCTCTGAATGAGGAATCTGAGATGATCGAGTCCAAGCAGGTCTTGGCACAGACTCATCCCTGATTAAAACATTTACCAACAGTTCTTTGGTGAAGTCAAAAAGGAAGTCTTTGAAGAACTTTCTGGCATGTGCATCAGCCCCATTCTGCAGTAATTCTTCTGCAGATGTGAGATTGGAGTTTGGAGAGATCTGCTCCAATGGAACTCCTTTCTCATGTGTTTCCAGAATGTCTGAGGCAATCTTCATGACTAGGTCCTCAACCTCCTTTTTCTTGCTAGGGATTGGCTGCAATGCAAGGAGAAAATAGCACTTGAATTATGTAATTCATCAGCAAGTAGAACTGTCAGGACTAATATGGCTGCCTACTTTAAGAACTTCCTCAGCCAACTTCTGCAAATCAGCTTTGCTCAGGGAATGAGGACCTGCTGGTGTCAAATTCTCAGAAGGTAAAAAAGGGGGAGTGTAGGGAGGAGGGGGCTTGTTGGGTATCTCGCGAATGAAGTAATTAGGATACTGTTGCTGAATCTGCTGCAGCTGTTGGAGGGCTTCCAGTTCCTGGATCTAGAAAAGAGGACAGTTCAGGCTCTCACACATCAAGGCCTCAAGGGCAATCTGTCTCAATTCATGAATCCTTCCTTGTGCAAAAGAATTCATGAATAGAGAGGTTCACAGGATATGAGGGACTTTCTCTCAGATCCCTAAGATACACAACTAGATGTGATCCTCACCTCATGCTCAATTTTGGCCTGTTGCCTGCGAAGTTTTTCATGCTCCATCTGATGTGAGATCAAGACGAGATCATCATCTATCCAACCTTGCCTCTCGATCGAGACACCATCTTCACTTGGCTAAAAGAAAATCAATAAATAATTGCACTCATTATTTGCCTTTTATCAAGCTACCTTCACATTTCCACCACAGGATAGAAAATTGTGAAGATCAGTCATTTTCATACCAATCCCTTCTGATGAGGTCGGAGCACAACAGTAGCTGGAAGAAGTGGGGCCATCAGATCGTGCTTCTCAGAGGCTGTATAAGTGATCAAGAAAGAAATATGTCCAAAATGAGAAGCACATGAATAATTGACTAGTGAATGAAAAATTGGGCAAGTCACATACGTGGCAATGGTGAGGTGGACTCAGGGCTGGGTAGATCAAATGTGAAGGATGGAGTGAGAAGCTTTGGACTGGATGGAGAGGGAGTGGGCTCTTTAAATCCAATGCATGCCATAATATCAGATATCCGTTGACTGACACTCTTTTCACTGGCATCAGTTTCATCTCCTCCCTTTCTTGCCCTCCACTTCTGTTCCCAGATTCCAAGGACATCAGACAACGCAGAATCTAGCATGCTTTGTAGATAAAAATCAGTCACATCCTTGATTCTTGTCTCTTTTCTCACCACAATGCTCTCCACTTTCATGATGGACTCATTCAGTAAAGAAGAAACCAAGTTGTCAACTAAGGCATGGGCCTTCTCTTCTTTCCCTGATTCTTTTGAAGAATCAGGTGCAAAATAAGGATGCTGAAATGTGGCATCCATAACTCTGGATTCTTCAAAATCCAAAGAATAAGAAGGCTCCAAGCTGGCCACAGTTGGCTGGACATCATCATCGGTCAAGTTTTCTATAACCTTGGAGCTGTCTTCTTGCATGGACTGATCAGAAGCAGTTGCTTTAATTTCCTTCTGCCTCACACAAGGATGTTTTATGACTGGCTTAACAGCTCCAGCATGAGCTTCACAGTTGGCAAGGCCAAGTTCCTGTTCCAAATCTGCTCTGGTTTGGTTAATCAGGGCATCATACATCTGAAAGATGAAGACAGGAGCACTAAGGTATTGTGAATCAAGAGATGAAAAACATCTATTCACTTCCATTTTACTATTCAGTTGGGGTGCTATCAAAGCATTCCACAAGTATAGTGATCACACAGTCAGCTTATCAGCTCAATGACTAATCCTGATGCAACATGAATTTCAAGATACCAAAGCATGCAAAAGTATCAAAGTGATAAAGGCAGAGATAGTAAAGTGGTGATAACCCACTTCTATCTGCTTTAATAGGGCTTGTTCCTTGCTCCGAAGTTTCTCATGATAACGCCTTTTCTGTTCCTTCTTCAGCTTCTCAGCTTCAGCAGACCTTCGCCTTAGTTGCTGTTCTAATGCTGCTATTCGGCTCTCTACATCACTGGCATCAGATGCAGTTTCTGCAAGGGAACAGAAAGAATCATACGATGAATCATAGGATTTACATTCCAGAGTGATGCTTTGAAATTGAAAAGGGGCAATAAATTTGCCCAAAACATAGGGGCCTTGACCCCAAAAATGAACTTTATAAAACATGCACAGGGTATATCAAAGTCATAGAACAGCCATACACTTACTGAAACAAACTGTATTATAATACTTTAAAATCAAACTATTCATCAAAAAATCATACTTGGACTTTTGGGATACCCTGTAATTTTTGAAGCAGTGTCCTTTGTCTAACTCAGAAATGTAGTTATTCAAATATAAACAGCTCAAGAGAGGATATAGGGCAAACCCACCTAAGTTTGGACAGTACCTAAGTTTGGACACTAATGTTTATTGTTAATAAAATATGCATTTGTGAGACTGATGCCAGATAGAGTTCTTCTTAACCCACGATGACCATGTTACTAAGCAAAAGCCTTGCAGTGGCCATGATCGTTGAGCATGATTTCAAAATATTGGGAAGAAATGAATGTTGTGTTGTGGACAAGAGAAATTCCAGAAACTGTACAGAGAAGACCTTACTTGAGAAACACTTCCCACAAGGTATAGTTCATTCTGTTATCAATTCTTATTCTACAGGAAACTAGCAAACATTTAGCACTGATACAAGGGAATGTGCATGTCATGAGCAGATTTCTGCCTTACTTTTGGGGTGTCCAAACTATGTAGTGTTCGAACTTCATTTTTTCGCACCTAAGTTCGGACACCCACATAATTGGAATTATTTAAAGCTATAAGGCTTTGATGGTCATCATCTTTATCACACTCATACCTACTCATATTGTGCTGCTGGACACAAAAAATGAAGTATCTGGGTTGTACCACTAAGGTAAGACAAGAGAATTACAATCCTATCCTGGCTTAACTGTCTGAACTTTGGTGGCTTTACCTCAAGGGTCAACTAATAAATACCAAAGTTCTAAACTTCACTATCTGCAAGCAGACTACCAATCAGAAATTGGCAGGAAATTTATGAGATATTACAATATGTCATCAGGTGATAGCTACAGCTATATAAGGGCTAAACATCAGAAATAGAAACAGAGGGCTATGCCCCCATTGGGCATTATCCCAAAATATTATTCCTTTGTGTTGTACCCCCTGCAAGAGAATGGCAGCCAATTTCAAGTTTTGTTTGTGAGGGGAGTGGAGGGATTCTTAGTCTCTCTCCCAGTGCTTCCCCTTCGTCATATTTCTGTCACATGGCAGAACCTATCAATTTAGAATTATTTTCATTCTATAGATTAAATAAAAGTCTGAAATTAGTGTAAGTCACCCCATGATAACAGAAAGCAAGGTTATTTTGTGATTATGTTGGACACAATAGGAAAGTGTCAGCTGTGACATGTTCTGAAATTTATTTCAAAATGAGAAATCTGTATACATGTTTAATTTTCTTTTTAAAATATAATTCAAATGTGAACAATTGATATCTCTTCACACCTGAGCTGATGTTAAGTTATAACTCAGTTTGGTAGAACCCATCTGTTCCAGTAGCCCAATACAGTTTCTACAGATTTGATTTTTATCACTCTCATGAATATCATGAGAGTGGTGCAAATATTTAAAAAATAATATTCACATTCATTCATGCCTCCAGTGAAAAAAAATGAACTGAAAAAGATGAAAAAAGATTATTTATAGAACATAGTATTCACAAATTAAGAGAAATTTCTTGTTAGGAATCCTTAAACCACTTGGCATGGATGTGCCCATAAGACTTTTTTGGAAATTAATCAGAGACATCTAATTCTTCTCTCAAGAGGGAGCTGTACATCATGTTCCTTTATGAGTGGTCAAGGTGTTGTGGGTGTACCTGGCTACCTAACACATGTTTGATGAGTGCATATAAGCAACCATTCTGAATTTATAGTGCTTTAAATTGTGAGTCATAACTTCTGTCTGCAAAAGTACCTATGTACAGAAGGTACTTGCTGCAGATATCTGTGCATATATCTTTTGCAAAAGCTCAAGAGTCTCAGTGAACGATTTTCAGAGCTTCATCTTTGCCCTTTGCTCCAGCACTGGCATTCCAGTAAAATCCGCCGAAAGTTACTGACAATGGCAATTTCTTTTCATCACCAACAGAATTCCTTAAATGAAAGACCACTGACATTTTTACCATGAGTTGCAAAGCGAACATAGTTGACACCTGCAGAGTGGCCAACAATTTTGACGAGTGTTATTTGAGCTGCAGTGAAAGTTCTGTTCCTTTTTGATCAGCCTAGTATTAATGTCATGATATTCAGGTTACTCTTCCCTTTTTCTCAAAGGTGTACTTTGTGGAGACAGAACAAAATAATTATTACCATATGGTGTTGGTGGTTTTATGAGAATTTAAATAACTAAAAAAAAATAATAATACTATATTGTACTAAATATTTATAACTACATCAGACCATTCTGTGAGTGTGCCATGGAATCCTCAGATCCACTAGAATCCTTCTGATGCAGCCTAGCTTTTGGGCTCAGGGCTGAGCGGTTTCCAAGGCCACTTTTCTTGCGCAACTTGTCCACAAGAGAAGAGCGAGGCATCCCTTGAGGTGATGTGTCTGAAGCAGAATCCAAAGAGTCCTGTGAATGTGATGTATCCATACCAATGTGAGAAACCTCCTCCAGCAGAGCTTCACTCTCACTAGAAATCACACAGAGCAACATTGGTTAAAAAATGCATAAAAAACAATGATTTTTCTTAGCATATGAAAAATGTATTCAATCTATCAGAAGAATGTAATCTATATCTGTAGCTCTCTCAGACCTCAGTTCTACTATTTGATCTAAGCTCATTAAAACCAAATTTCCATTGACAAAATGCTTTCTTTTTCCAACTTGCTGATTCAATGAGAAGAAATGCTTCATTTGCCTACCTGACTGATAATATATCATTGCCATACAGCTGGATGAAGCTTGCATGAATTGAGTTTTAATGTGCATCCCTCTTCTCTTTCAGTGAATGATTTTTCTTAGCATATCAAGTCAGAGCTCTACCAAGGTGCTAGAGAGGAGAGTCCAAGAAATCAGAGGCCATCTAATAGAAGCAGTGATAGTTCTAGTAATCAAATTATATTCCACAATTTATAGATGGATACAATGTGTATCCATCTATAAATTGTGGTCATGTGCAGGGAATGTTCATACCATCTCACTATTTTCACTTATAATTGTTTACAGGTATTTCTGGTCATTGATATGTCCTTACATTTTACTTGAAAGAGACTAATCACACCTAGAATATCAAAATTAAAAAATGGGACCTTACATGGGATGGGAAACAGAATGTGTCAACTCTTCAGGGATGGAAGCACTGCCACTGGGTTCCTTAGGTTGTGACTGTGAGCTTGGTTCTTTGGGCGTGGAAGTTTTTTCTGCATCACTCACTGGCTGTGAACCATCATCTCTTGCTAAGGTTAACATAGTTAACTATAAATACCAGCACTATTGTTGTGGTAAAAGAGCATAGTCAATAGGAACTCTTCCAGGAACTAACAGTAAGAGGGGTGGACAAGAGGGAGCTGCTTCTTTTCACGCAGAAGAAGAAAGGCTTGGTGCTCCAGTAGCTGTACATGTTTCTCCTCAGCTTCCAACCTCTGCTTCCACTGAATCAGTTCCTCCACATTCTTCCTTCGTTCTGCCAATTGCTGTTCTCTGCGACTCAAATGTCTAAAGAGCATATAGCATTGATATATGTTTCACAGAGCAGGAAAGGATATTGACAATAGAGATAGATGATGTTCCACCTTTTCTCACTCTCTATCTTCTTGAGACCATGCCATGCTTTGGCACTAGTTCGTGTTGAGGAGGCAGGACTCCAATCTTCACCATCCGAAGATAAACTTGTAGAAACTTTGGATACAAAGGTTATGCCACTCTTACCAGTTTTCTTTGTTTCTCCTCCATCTTTATCTCTTTCTCCTTCTTCTTTGACCTCCATGGGCAAGAGTGGAGACTCAATTGCGGAAGAACTGGATGCCTCTTCTTTCAACAACTCAGATGTGCTAGAGGCTACTTCTAAGGACTCCATGGGTAATGTGGCCTAGAGTTAAGAAAAGGTATTGGCTGTACTTTTTACACTAAAAAAATTTGGACATAATTTCATGCTGGGGAATACAAAGGCCTCACTTGTGAGGGAGAAGTATCAAGCTGAAGTTGTTTTCGAAGCCGGAGGATATGGTGATGATGGCGAAGAAGTCTCTCCCTCTCCCGTTGTGTCTCAAGGTACAATTCCTCTCTCACTCTGCAAAAGGACAAGTGTTCACCTTGAATGTGTTCATTCATAAAAGAGATCACAGAGGGAGAACTATGAACACTCACTTTTGGAGGTACTGTTTTTCCTCTTGGTACTTTTGTACAAGTTTTTGCTCCGTTGCTTTTAGAGAGCCAAGTCGTGCATCATCTCCTCTCTCCTTGCACTGACTGTAAGTCAAAGGTAAACAATTTTCATTCAGACCAAATCATTCCTTACAACATTTAAAAATGGTGGGCTCACATTTTTTGCTTCTGGAGCCTGGTGAAACGCAACATCATTTTCTGTCTCAAGGATGCTTCCTTAGCACTCACAAGAGCTTTCTGCCTCTGGGCCCGAGCATTTGCATCCTCCAGGAAATGTTGAAGCTAAAGTTCATGAAATCCAAATAAATGGGTGCCATAAAAAAAAAGTTCACATATTTTCCCCAACTGAAAAGCTGGTTCTACTTACGAGAGAAATATTCATCTGTGTGAATGAGTCTGACTCTGTGATGAAAGACTGGAGAGACACCTGTGCTTCACTAGAGTTTAGGCCCTTTGTGTTAGTTTCCTGAGCAACTAGCTCAGTCTCTTCCTTCTCTGCACCTGAGCCCAGTTCTACAAACTCTGGATGCTTCACTTTAAATGTGTGCAGTATCAGTGATGTTCCTGAACCTTCAAAGTCGCTGGAATACCCCTCTCCTACAGAATGGAAGTAATGTTTCTCAACTCTGATTCTGTCTCAGAATGGCAATGTTGAGTTTGATACATGAATGTTATCAGGACTTGGACGATTCTCACAAATAGCAGATATAAAATACAAATCGGATAGTATTGCTCAATCCATCAACAAGAAAGAAAATTCAATTTTAAAAAAGTTTCCAGACAATTTTGATCACAACCCAATTGTTATGAAACACTGTAAATAATAGTGCAACAAACCTTCACTGTAGATGTCTGGGGCCTTGCTGTTTGTACTAGTATCATCAGTTAACTCCTCTGGAATGCTCACAGATGCACCTTCATCAGACTTCTGGCTTTCTTGAATGCTTACAGATACACCTGCATCAGACTTCTGGGTTTCTGGAACACTCACAGACGTGCCCTCATCAGATTTCTGGCTTTCTGGAATGCTTGAAGATGCATGTGCATCAGATTTAAAGCTCTCTGGAATGGTTTCCATTTGAAAAGAATTCCCAGGTGATTTCTGCTTTCCTTCAACTTGCGATGACTTGAACATAGATGAAGACTGCATGGACTCAGACACATTCACATTAACTTGCACCCCCTATAACAAAAAGAAAAAGCTGACTGTTTATGAAGAATTCCTTGTTTTGCATCTCCTTTAGTCAACACTCTAATGGCTAGCATTTTCTTACAAGTATGATATTGGCCAAAAATATGATTATGTGGAAAGGACACCATCATGTCCAGAGACCAAAGCAAGTTGCGCCATGAGATTTTTCTCATTGCCTTCAAAATACTTAACACAGTATGTCATACTGAAGGCTTAAAGCATAACAGATGCACCCAAAGTTGTAACCAACATGTAATTGAAAGACTACTGATGAATGTACTAGGATGACATGCACACTCATAAAAGGAAGCATTGCGGGTTATGATGGCAGTAGTTTCATGAATTTATTCTTGATGGCAGTGTAGTAGTAATGCAAAGATACACTTTGTTTGGAAGTTTAATAGGATTCACCAGGGAAGATTTTGAACCAAAAACCACTTTCCTGCTCCTCAGATTAAAGGATCACACACTGAACAAAGTTAAATCTGCCCATCTCTTATGACACTTGGCAAGTCAAATTGACATGCTTACTCACTTTATTTGTTTTTGGAGGGAAATGGCTCATATTGAAATTGAGAGATGGTGGCTTTCTCCTAATCTACAGCACCTTGACAGCATTATTATCAAAGCATGGGCAGTGGTGGCAATTAGTCCACTCATGTTCAACCCTTCCTAACTTGGTGATGCTATGGAATTTCAATGAACAAATTCCACCAATGAAAAATCTTAACATAAGCCTTCAGATCTTGAATGTTTCCTTTTTTACACTGTGGGTACTTCATATGATAAGTGAAACTTGGGTTTGCAATTTCTTTTGCCCACCAATTTTTTTTGTTCTCTCTACAATGATAGAATTTCATGTATATTTCATAGGAAAGTGTGATATGTACATTTTTGACGGGCAAAATCGACCTTAAATAAGGAAGGAGAGATCCCTTCAATCCTATAATTTAAAAAAGGAAGGAAACTCATACATGCAAAGCAGAGCCTAAATACTGGGAGGTTGCATGCATACAAGGAAAAGCAAAATTTGCAAAAGACAGGTTTAACATAAGCTAATTTTATAATGACTCCTTTTGGTAAACTCTTCATCAAGGTAAACTCATTCCCATAGAGGCCAGATCTTTGAAATTCAATGATTCTAATCAAGATGCATAATACTCCCTTGATACAGAAATATATGCAGAAATATATGCATGTTGCTGATTGGATCAATTCTCATTCAGACCAAATTTTCTCTTTGCACACATTAAACCATGCTTCTACTATTCTTTTTAAAAAATTTGTAGGCGTGAGAAGTTCACTTTGTTATGCAAGCAACTTCAAGATTCAGACAAATGAAAACAAATATTGGAATGAGGAAAGCTAATTACAAATATGTTGGATTTTCCATTTTCCCCTCATACAGAATTGCATCTGGATTAATTATTTACACTCTAAATATAGTGTTCTCAAGCATCATGCTCAGAGAGGATGAGATTTGTAGATATTGTAAAAAATAATAAAACATTGGCTGCAATTGAAATTAGAATACTGAGGAGTTGAGCAATATTGACTAAATTTAGCATTTAACTTCTGGCAACATGTCATGGAATGGAGTTTCAAGTGCATAAGATGATTCTTCACAGAGAAAACTCATCAAATCCACTAATGAAAAGGGGATGATCCAACTGATAGCCTGAAATAAGCACTCAGGAATTTATTAAGAAAATGTGGAATAGCAATTCCTAATAGTGTCCAGGAAAATCAAGTCATGTTTCAAGTTCACAGAATGAAGCTATGTGAATCAAACTTGCCAGATGCCTGGAACATAAAGGAAGCATTCTAAGTATGCAGCATTTATGGACCCAGCTTGAGATCAAGTGAGTAGTGATGGCACCACAGCAGAAGAGTTTGAGGGGAAGAGAAAACTGGTTTTATCAGTAAAGCTTTTCCCTCATGTCTCAGCCACCCAGCAAGTTTTACTTGCATAGTCTTATCCAACAAATTTTAAACTTGACTTTAAATTTTCCAAGATGACATAAGGAGTTCCAATTCCAGAAATGAATTCTTTCTGGGTGCTTCTTTAGGGTGATTAGGAAGACCCTGTAGGTTTAATCTTGGATTCCATGAGGTATCCATGGAAGCAAGATTTTACATTGCCTCAATCAAGATCATAAAGTGGGGAAACACTCATATCTAACTTAAGTACATGTTGCTTCATTTGCAGAAGTTTTATCCAAAGAGATATTCATACATCACAGTTTAGTTTCTTTTGTTAGAGACCTCACCTAATTATCACCCAAAATTGTGTTAGGCTTCTGACAGTCATGCATTTCACTTACTTTTGATGATACAATGGCATAATCTGGTGCCTGCACCTCTGCATTGCACGTGGGAGCAGCAGCTTGATGACTTAGCTGTTGACATAAATATGAGAAAGTTCAATTCACAATGTACCATAAATTGATGTCAGAGCTAAACAGTGTACATGCATACCTGAGACAGTGCCTTAAGAGCCTTGGCTGTTTGCTGAGTTATAGCAGCATGACTCTGAGATGATTCCTGAAGCATCTCCTTAGTTTCATGATAAATTTGTTCCATTTCTTGCAGCAGATCCCTGTATCTCAATCTCTCACAATTCAACTGCTCTTCCAAGCCCATTTTGCTTGCTGGCTGCACAAATACAGTGGATGTCATAAATGAATACATAGAAAAACAAACAGATCATTATCCATATTCTTTTTGATGCTGAACCATATCATGGAAGCATTATTTCATAATCAGAGGTGAAGGAATGCCAGAAAGTAACTCTTTATAGAGCACAAGAGTTGCACCTGGAAATCAGTTGAGAGAAAGCACAATGACAGTCGTTAGTAAGCAACATCAAGCATTCTCTATTGAACTCTGCAAATGAGGGGGGGACATCAATGAATATCATTCCCCTTGAAGAAGTGTGATAATTTTTAAAAGCCTATCATTATGCAGCTGCTTTTACAAACCAAAGAATCGTACTTACCAATTCTGCTGAGATAGCAGCACTACTTGACGTGGTAGAGACAGTTATATTTGTTTCTTGGATTGATTGCACAGAAGTTTCATGAGATTCATATGGGTGAGACTCCTCCAGAAAGTGAGATGGTGAATCAAAATCACTTCGATATTCAATGTCACCTTCATGAATTTTCTCCTCCACAGGGATCGATTCTGTCTGCATTCCTCTTTCTGTTGCCTGGAACTTTTCTTGAAGGGGAATATGAAGGACATTTAGTCCTGAGAACTTCAATCCTCCATACTTGAGCTTCCTGCGGAGGGAATTGATGATGTTGTAAGGGTCTGGGTCAAAGGATGGAGTGTGTGCATCCTGGACAGCTCTGTCTGGTGCTCTAGCATCCTGTTCTCTAGCTGTAGCTCTAGCAGCCTGTTCTGGAACCTGCAGAAAACAATCCAATGAGAGGAAACTTAACATCTCAAAATAAAACCTTGTGTTGTCCATCCATTCTGATTAGTGAATGCTGCCAAAACTGCCATTGTGCAACTGAATACAAGCAAAAGGAATGAAACTCTACCCTTCCTAATGGCAAGCACCATTACCTCAGACTGGGCAGTTCCATTCCTAGCAGTCATCTTCTGCCTCAGAGTGACCTTCCTGAAGAATCTTTGAATTATACGAACTGCTTCCTCCTGCTTTTCCTTTCTTCCTTTAATATCTGACAACATAGATCACAACAGTAAGAGAGATAGATAGACAGGAAGAACTTGCATTTGACAATTCATTCACCACTATTACATATGACAAAGCATTCCTTGTAAGAAGAGCTTAACACACCTTCAGGCTGAGGCAGTGAAACATTAGGAGGCATTCCTGACAGAAGGGGATATTCCACTTGTAGGCGAGCTCTTAATGAAGCTATTAGCACTTGAATGTCTCTCCTCCTGTCTTCATTTGATGCATATTCTTCTGTATCTCCTGAACCTTCTTTTATGTCCATTTCCTCTCGTTTCACTCTACTCCTACCTTCTTGGGAGTCAGGAAGGTCTCTTTTAGCCTGTAACAGCTAAAAAAAAAAAAAATAATTTTTTAATTAAAATATTAGCTGAAACCTAGAGGCCTGAACAGGGGTATTGAAGGTTATGTTGACAACTGCAAACATGAAGGAATCCAGCAAATTACATCTTTTGCCAGAGTACCCACATGAGGTGGCTTCATTTTTCCTATTCTTCTAGCTTCATCCAACTGTTTCAGTAATATCTTTTTCTGTCCATCTCTCTCCATTTTTGTCTTTGCTTCTTCAACATTCTTCTTCTGCCTTTTGTGTCTTTTCTCCTTGATGTATTTTTGCACTGTTGTTTGATCATAATGTCGTTCTTTGACTGTTGGTTCTGGATGAGCCATCATCACAGCTGGAATTGAAACAGAAGTTTCAAGTCTACATAGTTGCAGTAACAGATAAAATTATTCAGTTGATCCACAATTATGCTCAACATATTCCTCACCTACACAATGCTGTCTTCGTTTCTGCCTCAAACTTTCTATTTCTTTTTTCCATTCAGCCAAACTTTTCTTAGAAATGGGTCTTCTGGCTTCACACTTGACTTCACTTTTCTCTTGTGTCTTCTTTGGCATGACCTTTTTGGTAGGTGACACAGAATTCTTTCTGATCTTTTGCCTAGGAATAATGATGCGCTCTCCCTGTTGCACTTCCAGAGTCTCATTTCTTTCAACAGGTGGCAAAGGTCTTTTCTCTTGTGATGGTCCTTCCACTAGTAAAAACAGAATAACCAATTAGCAGTGCATACAATGAAGTATATTAGTATGTTAAGAGAATGGAACCTACTTTCATCACTCCTCCTCTTCCTTGATTTAAGTTCCGAGTCATCTGCTGAAGATCTCCGAGATTCAGAATTGTCAACTTGCACCTCTTCGATTGTCTCCTTTGCATGATTGGTTTTAATACTCTCCTCATCCCTCTGAGTCTTTATCTCATCAACTTCTTTTTCCAATTCTTCTTCATGCTTTTCCAAATGGTCAGTTGTGTGTCTTTGTACACCCAGGCTCTCAAGGGCTTTGAGGAAGTCAGTGACAGACACCACAGGAGCTGAAGAGTGATTGTGAGGCTCTTCTTTCATATCTACCTGATTCTGTTGAGTAGCATGTTCCTGTGGCTTGACTCCTGCAGGTTCTCTCTGAATGCAGTCAGCATCTTCTTGTGAGCCCTTTGTTCGTCTGACAAATTTTTCCAGGAGCATCCTCTCCATCTCCTCAAAGCTGCTATGACTGGAGGTCACACTCTGTCTCCCATCATTTATCTGCATGTTTCTATTCCATGCTATCCCTACATAACAAATTGTGCTGCTTTCAGAACTAAGAAAATGTCATGTGCAGCATTATTTTGGTTTGAACAATCTACTAGGTTGTAACGAAAGTTTTTGTGCATACAAACAACCCAACAGTCTGCGAAGCACGATTTTTTCGTCACACATTCTGAACGCTGTAATTTATTATTATTATAAATTTAGCGATTTGTAAAAAAAAAAGCAACATATCAACAGATATACACGGCATAAAACGCACTTTCGTTCAGAACGTGTGACGAAAAAATCGTGCTTCGCGGACTGTTGCGTTGTTTGTATGCACAAAAACTTTCGTTACAACCTAGTATTTGGATACAGAAGACTTCCTGAACAAACAACAAAGTGCATTTCATGAACTTCTGGACTGGGTTATCATGCTTGAAAAATTTATTAATACCTGATTCAGTGGGAGAAGGTAGTTGCCTAAACTGAGGTACATCAAACTTGTAGGTCTTCTCCACTTTCTTCACAAGTTGTTCACGAGTTGCTCTCCTCATGGGTTGTTCATGAGCTGTTTTACCCCTGTCTTGTTCCTCCTGGTGCATCGTCTTTACCTCTCCCCCGAGTTCGTCGTCTCCATTCACTAGAGAAACCAGGATGGAAAAGGCAAATTAGAATTCAGCAGATATAATATACAACTGAAATTCAGGTCAATAAAACATATGATAATAGTAAAAATTGCAAGTACGGTATCCAATAAGAGATTAAATTCGCTCAATCACACCGAATTCCTAAGCTAGCTTCGCGCTCTGAGCCTAAAAAAAACGAGGTGGAAGGGGAGGAAATTGAAGAGAAATTCAGAAAAAGAATAAGTTCAAATCGTGGAGACTTTATCTTCGTGTTCCTTCAAAGAATCTAGCCAAAAATGTCAAGGATGAATTCAAAGATTTCCGACCATGAACGATAAAGAGAGGTCGAAGAGGATAACTAAAGGGTCCCGTGTCCAAACTCCCAGGAGATGGCCATAAATAATAAGAATCATCAAGGTTGCATTTGTGTTGCGTGCTGGGAAATCCGCATCTGTGAAGGAGAACCGCTCCCTGAAATACCACTAGTATTACTGCGCAACACCATCACATCAGTCATTCTCCTTCGGCCCAGGAAAAGAAAAACCTCAAAATGATATATAATTCCTCTTCAACTGCAAATTCTGAAAGTGTAGCCTAAATTTTGACACATCAATATATTTTTCTTTCTTTATTTATTTCGTAATACGAATTTCCATTGCTGCATTCACGTAAAGGGAGTGGCACTCGGGGAGGAAGACGTTGGAACCGGTTAAGCGTTTGTGGAAAAGAAAAGCGGCAGTTTGCGGAATGCGTATCAATGAGGTGGGAGGGAGGTCTGGTCTGATCCACAGACCACGGCACCGCAAGTCGGAATTCCTCAGGTGATTCACGGGCCACGTTTCATCCATTCCCTTTCCTTCACTTCCCCGCAAAGGAGAAAGTCCCCTGTCTGGCTGATATGTCCCCATGGCACGTGAAGTCCGAAAACCACCGTTGAACGGCCACTTCCGACTGCGTCTATATGCCGGCGGAGTTTTCAGAAACATGCCTTGCATTCTGGGAAAGAATGAAGAAGCGAGGGGGAAGGCGGAAAAAAGAAAAGGGGGAGGAGGGGGGAGAGGCGGGGTCCTTCTCGAAACCCTTTCACCGGCATAACTGAGAAAATCTGAAAACGGAAGCAGCTCATGGAGAATGATGATGATCCTGACATTCGACTGTTGCACTGTGCAGTCAATAATTTCGTTTCATTTACCACAATCGATCTTGAGAACAAAAATCACTGACGTTAATTCTCACACGGCCGAATTAGGCGGATCAATGAGCGCGAAACTTTCAAGCGTTGCTTCGAGCTCAGAAGTTCTGGGAGCTAACAAAGAGACACTTTCAATCGAAAGAAACCAATCGCACAAAGGGCACATAGCAAAAAGCTTAACATACAGAAACCTCAATTTGTACGCACGTGAATGAGCGATGAAATTCTATGTTCAATGCCTGCACTGCACACAATAAAATGACAAAAAAGTTAAACTAGCCCCGACACTTCAATAAGACACACCGATCGTAAGGGCCAGAAAACCGCTCCAGGTCAAATAAATGGTCACTTCTAAAATACGACGCTTCTGTGCTGATAGAATTATTCCCCTCGGTTTCCGGGAGTGAGTCTGAAAGTCACTTCCGCTGAGAATCACGGAGGCAGAGAATGGAAACCATTCAGCCCTTGAGGCGAGGACTGACGTGCCAACAAGTCATTAGCGTAATTACGTCTCCCTCTGGTCGCCATTGCGCGATCTTCCTCGTAATTAAGCATAAGCAGGATAATGGAGAAACGTAAACTGTTACGGGGGAAAATCCCTTTCACTGGGCCAAGCAAAAATCCTCTCGACCGTTCCTCCCTCCTCCGTCAATCGGAAGGAACTCCGGCGCACTTACGCTAATTACCATGGCCAAGCATTTGCATAATTACTTGCTTCCCAAATTGCATCACCCAGGTGTTAAGTACACCTGTACTAAGAAGTCGCTCAAACAACAGACGATTTTAGCGTTCGTTAGACACTATGAGAGATCTGCGGTCCCATTATTGTCTTCCTTTTGTACTCAGCCGACAAACGACTCCTGGATCATGAACCATGCCCTCTTGGAAGACTTTCAGTTCATCCAGACCTCATGACTGATGACCACGTGTCATCTGAGACCCCCCTATTCTGATGACGTTCCTTGGCAACTGGGAAACACGAGGAGAAAGGTGATCGATCTCTCATTCATATGAAAGAGAGGAATGAAAAAGTATGACGACTACAGGTACAAGCCCCCTGCTTCAATATTTCTCTCGCTGACGGAATTTATCCCATCTTTCTTAAGGATTCGTCGAATACTTGAATTGCTGAACCAACACATCGTTCTCACAGAGCCTCGAAGTCATATGTGAAAGTTTACGGCCCATGTGGCCGAGATCTTGAGTGTTATATACCACTCGAGGCTGCTCTCACGACAGACCTTCGTCAGCACTGGGAACAAGGCGGCCATGATGACGAAGCAAAGTTTCTGAAGGTGTGGAGACCCATTTTTACATGCGACACCTTATTTCACAGCGCTTCCCTCTACGATATTGTCATGGGATAGAAAGGATGCGAGGAGTATTATTTCCTCTTCTCTCTCTGCTCAGCAAGAAAACTTCGACCATCCGTGACATGACGTGACACACAGAGATTTCGACGATCAAGGTCCTTTCTGCGGTGCCAAGTAGAAAACTCCAGTCATGCGTGAAGAGATAGGTAGATATTTTGGAAATAGCAGGGAAAGGTCCAGCAAATAACGGTCTTTTACGGGTCCTGCCCTCTCCTCTCCCGGAAGATATCGTATCAATGGTCACACCTGTCACGTGTTCATGAAATGGACAGATACGACTGCAACGAAGGCGGAAGGAATGCAACGAAAGAATTCCCTTGACGACTTGTATGGTGCATTTTTGCGACCCACATATCGACAAGTCGGCCCGTACTAAATGCCAACGACTGCCGCAGAGATTTCGCAATTTCTCCATCGCAATTGCGCGAGACTCCAGGCAACGCCGCAGGGAATCACATTCCAGGGTTGAAAGTTGAAGGGTCAGAGGGAGACAGATTAAGGCATTGATTACATTAGTTCTCCACCTACCTACAGGTCCACACTACAATATTGAGGGAAAAGTAAATAATGGCTTCTCCTCACAGGTGGGTTGAATGGAGAAACTCCGATTCTCCTTCCCGGATAAGGAAGACGGATTACGTCCAATTGGAGGAGGCATGGTTATTCTCACTCTGCTACGTCTCCACCTCACTTCCTCTTCCTTCTTCCTCTCCATTATCGAACTCAACGATCTGCTCTTAGACTTGAGGTTCAAGCAGACGGGATTCAGCATTGCGCCTCCCTCCAGCCGTCGATCTGGAGCATCGCCTGAAAAGAGAAGACGATGAGGCTATTGGTCAGCGTCAGTGTTGCGGAAAATAAAAAATCTGCAGCAATCAAAGCATACCAATACTAGGTTTTCTGGGGAATCGTTCTATCACTCTTCCAAATGGTTACTTACATGACTTTCAAATCCCAATTGCAAACACTATTCAAACGAAATCATTCTGTTTCATGTTCCTTCGTTCCTGTTCCACCAAGGTACCTAAGTCAAAAGTTTCTGCGGGATCAGTCGAATCGAGCAGTCTAGATATGAATAAGGGCATGAATTTTCGGCGTAGGTTTATTAGAATCACAACAAACGGGAAATCGTCCACATATATGCGCCCGTCTAAGAATTGGCGCCTCTGCCTTAATTCCGCTTTTAATTCCATTTTTTTTATTTTAAAACCAAGCCCCCACTGCCCAATAGCATCGGTTAGGCAACGTAATGTGATCAACTGTCGATACAGCAGGTATCAATATGACTTTCCCAAAGCCCATGTCTTCTATGAACCCTTGGTTGTCGAGTTTTTTTTTGCGGAATTTAAAAACTAGGAGGCGAGTCTTCTGAAATGTTGAACTTGTTAAGATACAACAGGGAATAAAAATAAATAAATCCACGACTTGTAAATACTGACAACTGATTTTCCTATTTATTTAAATGGTACTGCTAATCATTTGCAGTCTCTTCTCGTGGTATTCTTTTTCGGTTGCCACGGTAAGCTGAAATTGAGAATTTTTGGGCGTGGCAGCTAAAGGGTTAAAAATAAGATTTATGGATGATTCCAAATTCATTTCAGCTCCAAATTCGGAAATACGTAGAATTTTTCATATTCAACAACAACGGTTGTCGCCATACGATCCACGAATCATTCAAAGGGTGGTCATGAGAGTCGATCGAGGCTCAAGGTGGACAAGTCCCACGGAGTGAAAAAAAGGGGTGCCTGCCAAATTGTGTCGACAAAAGGACTGTGTCATCGCTTGGCCTAATTAAGTCTTACGTCAGTGGAATTATCATGATGGCTTTGACTATGAGTCTGAGACAGTGAGCGCAATGCATGCGCGGAGGTCAATCTCGAGGTGCAAGGCCAGACACGCCGATAAGATGGGGGACGCCCCTTTCCCCCATCTTCCGATTCATCTTCCCTTTATTGCAACTCAATATGGAAAAGGGTCACCCTCGTTCCATGGAATCTAGGCCAGTCTCCTTGATAACCCTCCATCACGGGGTACGACGACACACCTTCAACGACGAGATGTGTCAACATGCCCGGATGATGAATTCACGCCTGTCAGAGACTCAAGAGGTTGCCACCAGGGTGCAACCAGGTCGCATCACGGTGCTCGCATTCGAACTGGCCAATCATGAAAGATTTTACGGATCAAGGCCAGGGCTTGCAATGCCAGCGCTTGACAATGGAGACGAACTCTGAGGCCCTTCTTCGCATTGTCTTTAAATGATTTCGACATTGGAGGGAAAGAAAACGTCGAACCTCGTCATCAAAGTCCTCGACATGGAAGCACGTGGCCTTGCCAACTCGAATAGAAGGGCATGCTGGGAACGTGCAAATTAAAATTCACCGATTTTCTCCACCCAATCCTTGAGAAAGAGGACGTAGGCAAGGGGAAAAGAATATTCTCGGTGGGGGCTCTTCTCTAATTACTCATGCAGCAGAGGATTTTCATGGAAAAAAAAGGGAGGAAAAGAAGACAAAAAAGAAACAAAGGAAGATGGGGGAAGGCCAAAGAAAAAGGCATCGTACTTGAACCATCCCGTTCGTCTGAACGTGTCCACCGGTTGAAGGACAGAAATCCGTCAGATTCGTAGAGCTTCGAGTTTCGACATTGAAAGCTTGCATACTTCCACTCCCAGAGGACCACCTACAATCAGTGCCACCATAATGAGAGGCACAAAGGGATCTCATTGAAGGAAAGACCTTTTGCCATCAGCTCTGAAGGAGTCGCCCTAATTTTGCAACTCCAGGGTACCTTATGACCTGGCCTATGAACGCTATACTCTGGAACTGCTACTCCGTCTCTTCAAAAGAAAACGGAATAAATCTTGATTTTAACATGTGGCCAAAGCAGGAGCGCCATTGCAATTGGTCCCATTTTCCTAGCTCGGTCTAGTAATTACCATCATTGTTAGATTATTAAGAATGCTTACGACTGACTTGCGTGAACGTTAGGAGCAATTTGCTTTTCTGATTGTTCAGGTTCCGATTGTGGCCAAGTACTTTGAAACTACTCATTCTGAGCGACCAAATCCCGCTGTCGACACTGTCGGTATTATTTCGCATCCATGCGTGCCTGGCAAAATAGAGGACAGAAAGGGTGCGAGCTTCACAAAGAAATTTCCCTGATTTATCAAACATGATGTAACAATGTCGCATTTCGTCGAGAAGGCGATTACAAGAACAATGATATCCGCAACCCTTATGAAAGGGATTGTTTTTGCATAACGTTTTCCAGTTGGGCTTTGAAACCGAAATGGAGATGACCTCTCCCGCCGACCCCCTCACATTGAGAGAGAGAGATGAATGGTGATGCCACTGAGGTTGAATGTCGAACAAAGGTTGCATATTTGGCCCCGTCCGCGGTCCACTCGCCTTTCCTCTAG